CGACATGTGTGGGAAGTGGGCCCCCAGCTCCTGAATACACCAGGAGCAGCATGAGGTCCTGGCAGCTCTTCACCTACCAACCAGTCAATCAGAGTGTTCACATGCATTTGAGTTCTTGCCCTGCATCTTCAGTGGAATCCCGTATTTGTCACCAGAAAAGATGTATTGGGCAGCAAGTAAAACATTAAACAAGTTAACATAGAGACTTTCAGCAAAATGATCCTCCTTTGATAAGAAACTTCTTTTGTTGACTCCTATACAGCAAGAGTCAGTGAAGCTTCCAATATGTAAAGTGAGAAGAACCAAGAAATAGTTAAAATGTCAGAAAGATGCCTTTTTGCTGTTGTGAGGAAGTAGACAGAGAGACTCTAGATCCGGTGTCAACTCGAGAAGTTGGTGGCCCTGCCTCCCGACTCTGTGAGGTGTAGCGGCAGAGATCGGGCGGGCCGCTGCCCGTGCTTGTGCGCTGAGTGGCCTCTCGCTTGGTGCTCGCAATGGCGCTCAATCAGGACCGCCTGTGAGAGGCACCTGTGGTGTGCGGACTGCCGGTGCCCAGGCTCCCTGTAAACCAGTGACAACAGCTCTGGGTAGCGCTTTTTCCCTTGGGGGTAAAATTTACAGCACAGTGATTTGCACAAGTCTTGCATGTATCACTTGAGAAATAGACAAACACATAGCTCTGGACCCAAGTCCCACCGACTTAACCACTGAGTGCCGCCCAGACCAGACGGACATCACTCTCATTAGTTTCCATCAGATCTAAGTCAAGCTTGTCCCAGAACTTTCTATAAATGGATGCAGGCCATTTTTCAAGGCTTTCCCAGGCAGTTCTAATGCACAGCCAGAGGTGATGAGCACTCGAGTGGGATGCCTGAATCTAGGCGGCACTTTATAAAACAGGAACAGACTTTCTGAGGTGGTAATATTTTGCCAGATTTGGAGCTGTGAAGGGTGGGCATGGGTGATGTTTCATTTTTTTTGCTGGAATAGTCACTCTTGCAAGCGTGTGCCACCACTTTGATTGCACACTGGAGAGGAGAGACACTCTAGCACCTTACCCTAAGCAAATTTAAGCATGATATAAAAATTAGATTTTTGTCCAATTTTTGCCCTCTAAATTATCATTTAGTTTTGTAACATTAAGGCCCTCGACATGAATTCTGTACATTTGGAGTCTTCCCTAAAAGAAATGTTGCTGCACTTGGTTATCCTAATTAGTAGTTAATCTGAAAATGTTTAAACAGGTGAAACCAAAGTAAAAGCGTTCTGAGAGCATGTAATATCCATCAATTTTGTAGATTCTTGATGGAAAGGAAATAGTAACTGAAAATAGACCTTTATTTAAGCAAGGGAATTACATGAACAATATAATGCACAGTTACATAAACTTAAGCCAAGTGAAATAGGGTTTTCCCTACTGTTTGAAAACTTTCAGAATTTTGTTTCAGAGGAAGAGCAAGCTGGTAAGGATGTACAGGCATGTGGTTGTGGTTTAGTTGCTAGGTCGTATCTGACTCTTGCAACCCCTGGACTATAGCTGCCCCCTCCCCCCCCCCCCCCCGCCCCAAACCAATGTGCCTCTGTCCGTGAGATTCTCCAGGCAAGAATAGTGGATTGGGTTGCCATTTCCTCTTCCAGGGGATCTTTCCCACCCAGGGATTGAACCCACACCTCCTGCATTGGCAGGTGGGTTCTTTACGGGGAAGCCCTTATACAGGCATATCTCAGAGATACTGCAGGTTTGGTTCCAGACCACAACAGTGGAGCGAATATCACAATCAAGTGAGCTGCACACATTTGTTGGTTTCCCAGTGGATATAAAAGCTGTGTTTACAATGCACTGTAGTCTGTTAATATGCAGTAGCATTATGTCAGAAGAGGTAACTACCTTAATTAAAAAGTACTTTATCTCAAAAAACTGCTAACCATCATCTAAGCCTTCAGTGACAAAGTGAGCAAATGCTGTTGGAAAAAGGGCCCTGACAGACTTGCTCAACACAGGGTTGCCACAACCTTCAGTTTCTAAAATGCACAGTATCTGCAAAGTGCAATATAGCGAGGTATGCCTGTAGAGGCACTCTGGTTCTAGCACTGCGTAAATCTCACCCATAGAGAAACACTGAATTGCTTTATTTTCTGAGGCTCTAAATCAAAAGGGGTTGGGTTCTGACTCACAGTGAAAGCCTTCATCGGTTGATGTTGACAGTGCAGAGAGGAGAGAAATGCATTCCTGTGAATGTATGGAGCACACAGCCACCCTGGAGACCGAGCAGCCAGGTTGTGGGGCTGCAGTGAGCACCACTTCCCTGGCGGTCTCTCCAGTGATGCAGACTACCTGCACTGGTGGGCGTAGGCCTCAGGGGCACTCCTTGCCTGGTTGAGCTCGAGCTATGCAGTGGGAGACCATGAGTGGAGACTCTTCTGACCCTGCTCGGTCTGGCACATGTTAGCATTTAGTAATATTTCAGCACTGCATACAATGCTGGTTCTGTGTTTCCCATGAATATTGTGTTACCTATTAAAAGAACACTGACCCCACTAGTCGTATCAGTATGACAAGACTGCTAATCTGATGTAGGTTGCTGTCACACCTGAACTTACACAGATGTGTGATTTAATGATCATGGTGATGTTTGGGATCAGCAGTGTTAGTGCTCCTGAAATTAGTTCAGAGTGGGCAGGACAGAGCATGTAGTTGGAAGCATTGGGTTTGTCTGGCTTGCAAGATCTGTTCCCCAGCCAGGGATGGAACCTGGGCCATGGCAGTGAAAGCCCAGAATCCTAACCATGAGGCTACTAGGGAACTCCCTGGAAGCATTTGTTCTTATTCTCCTCTCTTTCTAAGGGAATATAGGTTTCCCAAGAGGTAAGGAAAAAGGCTTCTTGGACTTCTTAACATTTCTTCCCTGTATCCAACAGACCAGAGAGTTGTTTAATAGAGAAAGCAGTGCATGGAGGGATGGCTGTGTCAGCAAGAGTGTTTCCACAGCAGTGTTAACAGCTGACAGGTTCAGATCTGTTGTTTTGCTCTCACTTACCGGAGAACTAATAGTTCTCATGTGTTTGTGTGCCTGGGGCTTACAGGGGATTTATTTATTTATCTTTATTTTTTAATTGAAGGATAATTGCTTTACAGAAGTTTGTTGTTTTCTGTCAAACCTCAACATGAATCAGCCATAGGTGTACATATGTCCCCTCCCTCCTGATCCCCCCTTCCACCTCCCACCCCATCCCACCCCTCCAGGTTGATACAGAGCCCCTGTTTTTGGGTTTCCTGAAACATACAGCAAATTCCCATTGGCTATCTATTTTACATATGGTAATGTAAGTTTCTGTGTTACTATCTCTCTACATCTCACCCTCTCCTCCCCTCTCCCCATGTGGGAATTTTGTTTAAAGTGAGAATTTACAAGCTACATCAAAGTCCTTTTTCCCAAAGATTATACAACCTGGGGTTCAGGGAATATCATTGCATTTTAAACTCCACATGTACACCATTGGCACTTGGTCTTGGCCTCCTGTCACAACCCGGCTTCCCTGGTGGCTCAGCTGGTAAAGAATCCTCCTGCAACACGGGAGACCTGGATTTGAACCCTGGGTTGGGAAGATCCCCTGGAGAAGGGAGGGCTACCCACTCCAGTATTCTGGCCTGGCGAATTCCATGGACTGTATAGTCCATGGGGTCACAAAGAGTCAGACATGACTGAGAGACTTTCACTTTGATGTCACAACCACCTGAGGAGTTAACAGTAAATGAATGAACAAATGGTGGAGACCTTTGCCTGGAAATTCCAGTTCAGATGCTCAGGGTGGGAGCCCACCAGTGTATCTGGAGTGTGGCCAGGGTGAGAAATGCGTTCTGCAGTCTGTAGACAGTAAAGAGTAGAGCTGTTTACTCAGACGGCCTTGGAGTAAAGCTGAGCAGGAAGAGCACCAGCCACGCCCCAGAGCGTCTGGGGAGGGGGCAGCGATGGCGCCAGACACGGAGTGTGCGAAACTGCATCTCAGCTCAGAGGACTGTTTCCACTTTTGACTCAGATGCTTTCGTGCTGTGAATGTATAAGCACTTGGTTAAGCCATAGCAAAGGTTTGTCATTTACACAAGAAAACTTTGCTCCTTCCAATGTATTTAGCATTATTGAGATGACTTCCTATGTGTAAAGTTCTTAGGGGAGTAAGTAATAATGTCACTGGGTAGAGACTCATAATACAGCAGCCTGAAAAAGTTACAGTGTTTATTCAGTAGTGGGCCAGACTGCTCTGTCCTCTGCATGGTGGTCTGCTTATGGTCCAGTGTCTCTCGTGGTTGTCTTGGCCTCAACTAAGAAGTTGGGAACATTGGTCCTTGTTTCCTAGCTGTCTAGAAGTGACATTGAAGGTAAATTCCTTCTTTAATTTGTGTGAAATTAAGTTTTCTGAGAGAGAAATTAAGAAACCTAATTAGCTTTTAGGCAAGACTAATGGAAATTGAAGTTATTACTGAAAAGACCCAGAACATTTCAAAGTAGATATGCAGATGTGTGTGCTGCAGTGTATGTAATTCCTAAGTGACAGACTTTCGATAACCTTTTAAATAGAGAATAATGTTAATAATTGAAATTCACTGTTCAACATTGTTATTTTAAAATATCCCTTAAAGGATTTCAGCCATTGATTTTTTTTAATAAAATAAGTGATTCTACATTACATCATCATTATTATTTTACTGTTATTGTCATTATTTTTTGTCATCTGAAAACTGAAATTTTAAAACATCAGAAAAGAAAAATGCATAATTCTCTGAGGTATTATGTCAAGGATAGTATATTTTCTGATTCTTACATTGTTACATTAAATGCTACTTTTGGTATGCAAATTTTGAAGATGTGTTGGAAATATTACATTGTTTAAGAAAGTCTATATTTGCATACTATAATCTTTTATATATAGAGCAATCTTTAGCAAGAATATAGACTTAGAAATGATCATATTTTTATCTTGGCCTTCTCTGTTTCCAACAGAGCATCAAGAAGAAAAACACCAACAAGCAGGAGATGAGCACGTACCTCAGGTTCATCGTCTCCCGCATGAAGGAGAGGGTGAGTCCTGAGAGCTCTTAGAATCGCCTTAAAGCATGTGTATTCTTTCAGAGTTCTGACTGACAACTAGCAAATACATGTAGTGCAGTATGAAGGGTGGAAACCACTGCTGTCTTGTGTTTTTGTGCTCTGAATAGTTCCATAAAATGCTGTTAGATTTGTTTTGTCTTTGTTTTCAACACAGGAATTTCTTTAGCTGCATTAGGTTAGAAACATTTACATTTTAAATTTCAATTTATCAGAAAGAACATTTTCATTGATACTTAAGTCTTTAAAATGAAACTGAATTTTCCAAAATAACTGTTCTTTCTATTTAAACCTTAAGGAATGCCACATTAAACTATAGTGCATATATATCTTTCATTAAGTTCTCAAGTACTTGTTGTTTAGAAATTGATGTTTTACTCCTCTCTCTAGCCACGTTTAAACTGATGTGTCTGATGACCTTTCAGGCTATTGACCTTAATAAAAAGGGGAAGGACAACAAACACCCCATGTACCGGCGACTGGTGCACTCGGCGGTGGATGTCCCTGCCATACAGGAGGTAAAGCTTGCCAAGCACAGCCCTGGCTGTGCACCTGCCCGCCTCCTGCCTCAGCAGCTGTCCTTGTGAGGGGCATGTGCACCCACTGGTGCTCAGCAGGGGTCATCTTTTAAGAGTCTTTGTTTTAAGCAACCTGTAGATTCTTGACACTTGTTGATTAAAGAAAATGTATTACAGCCTGATCAGTGTAATGTTCCAGATACAATCACCATGCAGCTGTGTCTTCCTGGGCTCGGCAGCAGCACTTGGGAGTTTCTGCCCAGGGAAGATGAGAGCGCAGATGTGATCTCAGGTCTTGGGGAACAATGACTTGCACTTGAACAAAGCAGATTTTAACTAGAAAACTTAATCTCTCTAGTGAAGTTCCTGTAATTTTACCTACTTAGCTGAGGGCTATTAATGGGTTGTTAATATTTAATTACAAATGCAATGAACATTTTGATGTGTTTCCAGTTAGATTTGCAGATATACCAATTCTGAAGCTATGTGTCATTTTGAAGTTTTAAAATCTTATGGTTGGCCATAATAGGAGTAATTTTAAATCATCTGCTCTTTCCTTAATCTGCTTAATAGCTGGAAAACCTGAAGGTGTAGTATTTCAGTAGAAGAAAGGGGCAAATGAAGGTTGTTCATAAAAATGAGCAATTTTAATTTTACCTCTTACCCCTATGCTGCGTAACCTCTTGAGAACAGTGAAGAGCCCGGCCGTCCCTCCTGCCCTCCCCCCATGGCACCCCCACATTCTGCAGTCTGACTCACCTCAGTCCAGGGAGCTCAGTAGCTGGGCTGATGGTGTCTTATTAGCACGTGCTGACCATGAGCAGAAGCACCCTGAAGGAAATGAACAGGAGGAAGACCTGGTTTTTATGCTTCCAAAGGTTTATGGTGGAGACCAAAATGCGAGCTGTAATGATGCATGGGGACTTCTGGGTGTGGGTGTCCCCACCTGGGTGCAGGCAGGCAGCCTGGTGGTACCTTGCACTCCTGAGCCTAAGACTGTGAGGCGCTCAGGGTGGAGTTTGGAAGAGCCCTGTGACCCTCGATGCCAGACAGAAGCCATTGACTGTCTTGATGCACAGAGGACCACCACAGACTTTATTTTAAAATGATGTCAGCCACCTAGCTCTAATTCAGAATTGCCTTGTCTTCTTTGTGGTAATCTGTCACAGAGACTAACAGCTCTTTCTTCTTTCAGTTTTATTTTCCTGACTTATAGAAATGGTTTGGGCTTCTCTGGTGGCTCAGATGGTAAAGAATCTGCCTGAATTGCAGGAGACCTGGGTTCGATCCCTGGGTTGGGAAGATCCCCTGGAGAAGGGAACGGCTACCCACTCCAGTTTTCTGGCCTGGAGAATTCCATGGGCTCTATAGTCTGTGGGGTCACAAAGAGTCAGACACAACTGAACGACTTTCACTTTCACTTTTCATATTAGTGCCTGTTCTCGAAACCAGAGCCCCGAGAGAGTTGCTGAGAAAGTCATTCTTATTTTTCAAAGAAGCCCTGTTAATTCTAGTATAGGCCTGTGCATAGCATATTCCCTATATGGTAGGTGTGTAGTTAGGTCTCATGAACCCCACTACCAAAGCTTTCATTATGCATGGCACTTAGCCGCAGCTTTTATCATTGTTACAGATGAGATGTTCACACTGCAGTAACATGGCTGAGAATGTGGGACCTTGTGCACTTCACCGTCCTGGAATACCCTGACTGTAGATGGAGTTGTGGGTTTCTTTTATGAACATTCTGTCAGTATGGAGACAGGAGCAGTGGACACAGGAGCAGTCGTAATGCCATTCTGGAAAATCTTGCTGTTTCCCACACTCTATCACTGTTAAATTGATGGCAAGTGTTTTCACTATTAACTGTTGGCCATTTTGTTTTTTTTCCCTCTGCAGAAAGTGAACGAAGGGAAATACCGAAGTTACGAAGAGTTCAAAGCTGACGCTCAGTTGCTTCTCCACAACACAGTCATTTTCTATGGAGGTTCAATATTTTTTTTGTGTAGTTTTTTTAATTCATATGTTTACATTGCATGTTGAGAAATATCTTTTATAAAACATTACACTAAAACAATACCTGAATGATCTATAAGTAATAATGTTAGGGTTTAAACCTAAAAATATTTAGTAATATAGATAACTACATATAGCTTATAGAATTGACAGGCCAAAAGCAGAACTCTAGTATTTGTTTTTTCCCTTCAATATCCCCTTATTCAAAAGTAGTGAAAGAGGCCAGTCTATACTGAGAGTATTAAGTTATGTTGAATATAAAATTAAAGCCGCCTGTTTACTTTTCATTTACTGCCTGAATTTTATTTTAAATACATGTTTTTATTTTCCGTGGTATATGTCCACTTTTGTTAAACTGAAAGAAAATTTAAATGGTTATATTAATTTTGGTGGTCTTATGTTTCTTGGTAGGCCTGTGATTACTGGTAATAGATATCTGTCTTTATAATTACAGCAGACAGTGAGCAAGCTGACATAGCACGGATGCTCTATAAAGACACCTGTCATGAGGTACTGTCCACACCTAATACCTGAATGCTTGCTGTTTTCTACATTAACCTATTTTAGAATTCCATTCTGATATATACATTTTAATTTTGCCATTTCTTTAAATATGATCGTATTTCCATGTTTGACATACATGGTATACAATGCAAACAGAGAGACGGGGGCAGGGGGAGGCTAGAATTCTGGCAGAACTGTTCTCAGAGACTCTTAATTCTGGGAATTAGACTTAGTTACTAAGTAACTTCTAGTTAGAACAAAAGGAAATTATTTTCTTTAACTACCCTAAAGTGAATTAGTTAATATGACTGCATGTAAGTGTGTTGCACTGGGCAGGCACTCAATAAATGTTACCTTCTTTGAATGAAAGATATAAATTTGAGTTCTTACTACACTACACAGGCAAAAAAGCAACCAAACATCAGCATTCATAATTAACAATATATGAAATATATATTTAGGAAAGATTTTTTTGGGTGGCTTTTCTTATTTGAAACATTAATCTATAACCATATTATCTTTGCAAAAGTGTCTCAATTTATATAAAAAGTTTTGTTTCTTTATTCCATTTCTGATATGACTGCCATTCATTAAACATGTTTATTGAGTGTGTGCTGTGTGCTGTGTTAGGAATAAAGTGGGCGTCAGGATGCTGGCTTCCTGCTCGTAACAGCTGTGTTCTGAGGAAGGAGACTCAGGAAAAGGAGAGACAAATCAGTTTCTTTACAGAAGTTACAAAAAATGTTGTGAAAGAAAACAGGACTGAAATGGAGAATGAGGCAGAGTAAGGGCTGCTTTTATTGGTAGTGGGTATTTTCTGTGGGCATATCAAGAAGACATTTCTGGGGAAATAGCCTTTCATCTGTGTGTTGAACTAGAAGGTATCAGTGAGGCTGGGGAGCCAAGGGCAGAGGAATCTGCAGTGTGCCCTGAGGAATCTGTCTTCTATTCCGAGTGTACTCTGGGCCCTCTTGGGAGGTTCAGACAAGAAAGTGGCATTGGAGAATTCAAATTTGAAGCTTAAAGAACAAAATTGAAGGCTATAAACATGAAAGAGAATGCTGATTTACATGCATCTATCTATAGTTTTGTGCATGCATATATTTTATGTAAGCTAAATAGTTACTTTTCTTTTTCAGTTGGATGAACTACAGCTTTGTAAGAATTGCTTCTATTTATCAAATGCTCGTCCTGACAATTGGTTCTGCTATCCTTGTGTATGTGAAATTTTGAAATTTTCTTTTTTTTTTTTAATCTCTTCAGTGTCTCTGATGTACTGCTCTAAGGAAGTTTATTTCCAATTTGCTTTAAGATTATAATCCTTCTAAATATTTCTCTTCATATCATGCTCTTTATGGTTTTAATGAGTATAAAAAACTGAAATATAGGAAAAAACAACTTTGGGATCAGTATCCATTTCTGACTTTAAAATGAGAACTTTAAGAACAGGAATAAACATTGAATCCCCTTAGTAAATAAAAATTTTTCATTCTCTTACAAGAAATCTAAGTCTTTATATATAGCTGTGTGATTTCCCCTAGGATGGCATGTTAGTGCCAAAGGTATCTCCTCTCCCCCTCCACAAGGCCATAAGAGCCTGCCTGAAAGCTCCCACTTCTGAGAGATTACTGTGCTCTTCAGTCACTTTACGGTCTCATTAAAATTTGCATCTCTGACTTAGTAGGTTGGGAGGAGGACCTGAAAATCTCCCATTTCTTACAGGCTTCCAGGGTTGGACTATATTTCATGAAGCAAAGTTAGGGTGTTCAGTTTGCCTTTGTTACTCACATGGGCTTGGTTTCCTTCCAGAGTTCCATGGGCTGTCAGGAGATTCTTTTCACTCCACATTGCTTATGGAAATTTTAATTTTTTGGTGTTTTTCTTGGAGGCAAAAATCAATCAGTCTTGGGGTGGGAGTACATTCTGTGTGTTTAGGACTTAGAAAAGAAGTATTGCAAATACTATACCTAAGTAGGTCAGTATTAATGATATACTTGTATTTAATACTTTACAAGTAATATGACAAGATAAAACATTTTATTTCCAGATACCTAATCATGAGCTGGTTTGGGCTAAAATGAAAGGTTTTGGATTCTGGCCGGCCAAAGTCATGCAGAAAGAGGACAATCAGGTTGATGTCCGCTTCTTCGGTCACCATCACCAGAGGTAATCACGACCCACAAGCCACCATCACCCCTGGGCCTTTAGGAGCCCTGAAGTGGACCCAGGCCTGCAGTTACCAGTGCTCTGGGTGCTTTGCCATCAGGAACAATGTGAAGTGTATTTTAAATTAAAAAATAAATCAGCATATAACTTGACTGGGCACTTAAATGGGACAGTTTCAATAGCAGAATTTAGAAGGGTGAACTCAGAAGGTGTCAATGGTGGGAATTAAGTAGAGAACTTCTCAGGATGGTTCATTTCACAGAATTGTATTGTCCTTCTGGGAGTTTCAACCATCTTTTCAAGGTTCTGTCAGAGTCACAGACAAAAATAATCAACTCGGGAGTATAGGAGAGTGTGGGTCTTGTGATCTAAGAATGGATATGAGGGAAGAACTTTGACTTAGTGTTTTGAATTTCATTAAGTAACAGTTAGCTTAGAAAAATGAAGAATTGTTATGCAGAGATCACCGTGAATAAATACAGTAAATATTCTTTAGCTAGTTCCTCATATCTCTGCACCTAGTGGGGGAGGGAAAAGGTAAACACATGATTATGGACTGTTCCCTCCATATGCTCAAACCAGAGCCTGCTGCTGCCTTCCGAGCCCAGAGCAGGTTGTGATGCTTTGTCCTGGTGAGCAGGTCTGCAGGGCATGCATGTCTGCAGTGCTGACTCTTCGTGCTGCCTGTGGTTGGAGGGTGGATGGCACAGGCAAGAAAGAAGGGGTACATCCTGTCAGATCGTGGGCCCATCTTATTGTGCACATATTCAGAGAATTCTGAATTCAGATTGACAGATGTGTAGGTATAGCCAGATCCAATTTTCTTTTTATTAAATTTACTCTAAATTGTGGGGTGCTTTCTGTTTGCCTTTTCTAGTGTAGATCAGACTGCATGTCTCAAACTTGAAATCTGATTATTTATAGTAATGGAGATGATTGAGAGAATAGATATGTTGTATGAATTGCTTTGAGACTTAATAAAGTCTCACATTAAGAATATTCATTCATTTTTATTAAATCCAAGGGATACATAATTTAACAGGATAAAATTCTCTCCTAGGTCACAAGTTCATTCCAGGTAGTCGGCACTGCTCATGATGGAAATCCCCCCTCAAAAACATACTGCGTTTAAAAAGTGTTTTAACAGTTTTTGATTGCCCAGTAAATGTTTGCTGACTGAGTAAATAAGAATACAGGATTTAATGGCAAGGAACTCTTCCACAAGCAAATTTGTATTTGCACTTTTTCTCAAGTGTAGTTTACTTTGGTTTCTCAATGTCAGATGACACTGTTAATGTAATATTTATAAATAAGTTCAAATTTAACAATTTCAGCTGTCATTAGCATGTAACCATATGGATTATTGTATATTAAAAATGTGCTTTTAAATTCTAAAGCAAATAGCTTAGTTTATACAAGCAAGTTAGAAGTCTGTGTTTATAACTTTAGGCATATATGCCAGGATTCTCTGATGCCTTCAGAACAGTTTTAGGTCTAGTATTTCTGTAACTCCATAGTAAGACTGGAAACAGTAAATCCTGGTTTATTCCTAGTGCTGTATCCCACCTAATATCCTCTCATTGGTGACATCCCTCCCTCTTCATCTCCAGAGTCACCTGGACTGTATATGCAGCATTGTTCCTCCTTGTTTCTCAGTTCAGGGCAGTGGCAATGCATGTAGAAGCACTTGTGTATTTATTAGGAAACCTAACCATTAGGACCCTCGCTGGGTTCCAGCTGTTAATTAATAACTTACCTTAAGCCCATCTGGGCAACAACTCTGCCAGCCGTCAGACGAGGCAGGAACAGCGCTAGGACTATACGCTCTGTGGTGCTTTCACTGGCCCATGGTCAGCCCCAGGTGAGTGGACACAGCACTCTAGTGGGAGACTAAGGCCAGTAGGTGATTTGTACCCAGGAAAATTTTCTTCAGTTTCTATTCTAGCTTTCTTCCCAATAGAACCAAATGTAGTTTTAGATCTACCCACTCCAGTATTCTTGGGCTTCCCTTGTGGCTCAGCTGGTAAAGAATCCACCTACAGTGCAGAAGACCTGGGTTCGATCCTTGGGTTGGGAAGATCCCCTGAGAAGGGAAAGGCTACCCACTCCAGTATTCTGGCCTGGGGAACTTCACGGACTGTATAGTTCATGGAGTTGCAAAGAGTCAGAAACGACTGAGCAACTTTCACTCTCACTTTCTATAGTTCTAACATGCAAGTAGCTAGATTTTTAATAATTTATAGTATTCAAAACAATGAGATATCAAACACTTTTTAAAAGGCTTATGAGTCATTTTCACCCTGAGAACTTTACTTTGATGACTGTGAAAAGCAAGTCAATTCACCTTTTTTCTACTTGGTAAAAGTTTTTATTCAAGCCACAAACTGTGCTTTACAATGCACAGAGTTTCTGCCGTTTTGGAAACTTCTAACTATCCCTTTTCAATGTTGTTCACAGGGCCTGGATTCCTTCTGAAAACATACAGGACATCACAGTCAATGTTCACCGGCTGCATGTTAAGCGCAGTATGGGCTGGAAGAAGGCTTGTGACGAACTGGAGCTGCACCAGCGCTTCCTCCGCGAAGGGAGGTTTTGGAAGTCCAAGAATGAGGATCGAGGGGAGGAGGAGGCAGAGTCCAGCATCTCCTCCACCAGCAATGAGCAGGTAAGGGCACCAGTGAGAACCTGTCAGTTGTGTTCCAAAGGTGCAGGTGTCAGGACGCGCTGGCATGGAATGAGCAGGTTGTGACTTCTTCCTTTCACACATTTGTCAAGTGCTCTGAGAAACAAACCAGAACCAGTCCTAGTTCACAGAAGCCACCATCACCCTGATCCAGACTTGACCAGCACATTAGCTCTTTCAAGCCCTTGACCCAGAGGAATCATTCAGTGAGTGCCAACCACATGGTCTTGAAAGAGCTAATGTCAGAGGGACACAGCAGGTGCCCACCTCTCTCCCGTGGGTCCATGGCTAGTCTTCTCAGCAGAGAAGTGTTTTGTGGTGTCAGGAATAACGTGCTGTTATTTTTATAATGTCCACAGCTAAAGGTCACTCAAGAACCAAGAGCAAAGAAAGGACGACGTAATCAAAGTGTGGAACCCAAAAAAGAAGTAAGTTGCCTACCTTGCAGTGTCCAGGTGACAAGTGAAACAGGAAATACTTTCACAGTTGTGATCCAGGCAGTGCTCCTGACAGGTAACTTGCAAAAAGGACTGCCATCAGTCCCAGGATAGCAACCAAGTTGGACCCAGACTGCCCACTGCCCTGTCACTAGAGTAACACACGGGAGCATCCAGTTAAGCAGCACTGACCACATCTGGCTAAGTGGGACAGCCCTTTGCTTCATTGTCTGGGAACGTTGATGTTTTCTCATGGCACTAATAAACAGTTTTTAGTGTTTATCCAGCAGATCAATGAGACCAGCATTTGAAAACTGAAAGAAACTATGGCTAAGTTCAGGCTTTTACAATTCTATAATCCAGGTATATTTTAAAACCAGGGCACAGTACTACCACATACTCAGTGAGGGATGGTCTAGGGTATTTGTTTATGAATCTCATCCAAAGAAGTAATGATAAATTCTAATGATCTTACACAGTAAAACTTTTTGTTCAGTCTCTCTTGAAAGGAAACATCATAATATTATTTAATGGAATTGTAAATGAAGTTCCTGTAGAATGACTGTACCTACAAATTGCATGTGTTTTAATTTTTTTAACATTTATTTTGAATTGTGGTTGAATACACAAAAGAATTTTCCATTTTCTTACATGATTGTTTAAACAGCAGTTGTATGGCTGTTTGTATCACTCTGTTTTTCTTCAGATAGAGCTTGTTCTTGAACTAGTAAATTCTGTGGCACTTTCCTTATCCTTTAGGAACCAGAGCCTGAAACGGAAGCTGTAAGTTCCAGCCAGGAAATCCCCACTATGCCTCAGCCAATTGAAAAAGTTTCTGTGTCAACTCAGACAAAGAAGTTAAGTGCCTCTTCCCCAAGAATGCTGCATCGAAGCACCCAGACCACCAGTGATGGAGTGTGTCAAAGCATGTGCCATGACAAGTACACCAAAATTTTCAATGACTTTAAAGACCGAATGAAGTCTGATCACAAGCGAGAAACTGAAAGAGTTGTACGAGAAGCTTTAGAAAAGGTAACACAGCCCTCAGTGCCAGTGCTGCCTTCAGACACGCGGGTGGGTTAGGTGAATGGTCTTCATGTCGTGGTTTTACGTTGCTTAGGCATCAACCAGGTAGCAGCTCTTTAAAACAAGGAATATAATAAGGCATCTTTTTATAATATTTTAAATAACAGGTACTTTTCTCACCTAAATATTTTATAGCCCTTAATGAAATAAAGGGGAGAGGTACATCAGTTAAGTAGAAACTATGTATTATGGTTTTGCTTAATGGTCTGTGTAAATTATGAGCTGACGTATTGTGGGTTAACTTTTTTTTCATCTCAGCTGCGTTCTGAAATGGAAGAAGAAAAAAGACAAGCTGTAAATAAAGCTGTAGCCAATATGCAGGGTGAGATGGACAGAAAATGTAAGCAAGTAAAGGAAAAGTGTAAAGAAGAATTTGTAGAGGAAATCAAGAAGCTAGCAACACAGCACAAACAACTAATTTCTCAGACCAAGAAGAAGCAGTGGGTAAATACCACTATTTTCTTAGAATCTGATTTATGAAAAAAAAAAGTATGATGAAAATTCAGAAAGATCTTTATGGCATATGTAAAAATCCTGAAATACAGTCTAATGTGGAACTGTCAACTTTAATTAACTTAAACTGTATTTTAACCCCAGAGCCCACATTTCTCAGTATTTGCTCAAAATTATTTTGTTACATTGAGATTATGATACTTTGGGACATAATATATATAATTTATACAACTTTTCCATCTATGCAGGTATTTTATTTTGATAAGGGGGCTGGCCCTGATAGGTGATATTAACTTATAAAATTGTAAATGTAAGTATCATAATAGCAAACTAAGGATTTTCAGATTTTACTGCACTTAACATACAGTAGCTTCTAGTAAAGAAATTGATTACTTTTGCTTTATAAAAGTAACATCTCACTGGTCTCTAACTTAAGAACTGACAGTTCACCAAGGATGGTGCCCTGTTGGTCTTCTTAGGCTGTTTGCTCTTCCGCAGTCTTCTCCCCTGTCTTGTTAATTTCCATTGACCTGTTTTCTTCGGCTCACATCTGCCTTTACTCCCTCCAGTCATTTTTCACTTCAGTTAATGGAATTCTCAGCTGCAAGTCTTTTTGGTTTCCATCAGTATCTTTTTATTGATATTTCCAGTTTGCTTATACATCATTTTCTTGACTTTCTCCAAATCTTCCTTTAGTTCTTTGCACTTCTTTAATAGGTGTTTTAAAGTCTTTGTCTAGTATATCTGCCAGTAGGTTTTTTTACATGAACAGTTTGTTGATTTTTTCCTTTGAGTGGTCATACTTCCTGCTTCTTTGTATGCCTTGTGTTTTTTGTTGTTGTTGTTGTTGAACACTAAACATTTGAGTCTAATATGGTAACTGGAACTCATTTTCTCCCTTTATCATAGTTTGCTGTTGCTGTTTCTTTGATTGTTATAACTGTCTGTTCCCAGGATCAGACTGAGGTGTAAATTAAATGTCTTCTTAGGTCTTTTCTAAGCCTCTCCTTGGGTTTGCACATTGACTTCCTAATTCCCCTGTATGTGCAATTGATTTTGAATGGCTTGCAAAAGGGAAGTCACTTCAGAGGGAGGACTTGTGATGGGTGGGAGAGGGGTGCAACTATTAATACAGTTGCCTGCCCATCTGTGACCAGAAGCAGCAGTCTGCAGAACACCTGCCAGAGGGCTCCATGCATAGCCATCTGGGGCTGCAGGTGGGGAAGAGGTAGCTGTTTCAGTGCTAAGAGCCAAAATGACCAAAGTGACCATAACTTATTGTTCCACCCTTTTCCAGACCTCAGGGTTCCAAAACAGTCCCTTTAGATTGTGCAGCAGAGCTGGTGTGTGTGGCGGGGGGGGGGAATCCTTGTGCTGCTGCTCCGTCATCTTTTCAGAACCTTCAGGCCTTTTTAGGAAAAGAGAAATTATTTATGCTTGTGTGCTGTTGATGTTAATGACCTAGTACAGATGGAAGAAGTTGATGTTGTGCTGAGTAAGCTTGAGGTTGCTGATAATGACTGCATGCTGAGCCTCTGTCATCCCATTGTTTCCCTACTCTCCTGCTCAGGACAGAAACCGTGTTTTGATGCCCTAGTTTACACTTGAGTTAGAAAGATCTTTGAAAGCAGAGTTTTAAAGTCTGTAGTTGTACCCAGTTTCGTTTACTTGCTGGTCATGGTTTCTTGCTACAGTGCTACAACTGTGAGGAGGAGGCCATGTACCACTGCTGCTGGAACACATCATACTGCTCCATCAAGTGTCAGCAGGAGCACTGGCATGCGGAGCACAAGCGCACCTGTCGCCGGAAAAGATGAAGGCTGGCTCTTCCTGGAGAATCACTGACGACTATTCCTCTCAGACACAGCGGTTTTTGTTTCCAAGAAGCCAAAATTGTTTAGAATTTGCTTCCCATTTTGCACCAGCCTTTAAACACTTTTCGTGAAGAAATTTTGCACAGTAGTTTAAATCTTTTGTTAACGCTCCTCTGGAGTTTTTCAGGGGGTAAAAGTAACATCAGTGGAGGGTATTATTTTAAATAAATTTTAATTGAGAGTTTGTTGCATTTTCAGCAAATTTTAAAACATTTTTAGGTTTTACAGAGATTTTAACCTTTAAACAACAGATCTTTAAAAAACAGGTGAATTACAAGTGAGTTTAACAAAGAAACATTTAAAATAGATCTGAATGTAAGAACTACAGAACTGTTTCAGAAATAAAACATACTACCTTGATGTGAAATTTATTTCTTAACCTTGTTGAGCTGGTTTTGTTCAGCTTACTTTACTGTTTAAAGGCATTATCTATTGGTTATGCCAGTGGGTATATGATTGAATTTAGGGAACAGGGTTGACACAGCAGGTGCTAGTCCTGCATATTTTTTCTTAAATATTTCCCAATTGTGTTTTTCATTATTTCTTTTCAATATATAACTTTTATAACAAATTATTAGCTTTGATCTTGTAGTTTAAAATTGCAGGGAACTGGGGTAATCTTTTACTGAGCTGGATCTTAGAGAAAATGAATATTTAAATTTTAAAGTTTGCACATTTCATCTTTGTCCTAACATGAGTGCTTGTAACAAAATAAACAACAAAAATAAAAAGCCAAAAACTACCTTTATCCATACATGAAATTATAGATGAGGCATACAGATTTCTTTAATGCTTCCCTTCCCTCCCCAAGTGTCATCTGATTGCCTACTATCTGGTGTCACCTCTTCTATCGTAAGTTAATACTGAAAGGAAAGAAAGCACTTAAGTTTCACAGAAGCCGTTATGTTTGTAGTAATGGATCATTGCCTACTAATGAACTCCATCACTGTACACAGAATGAAGAATAATGCATGTTAATTTTCTTGTATTAAAGATGCCGTGATTTGTAAAAAGTCTGTATTTTGCGGAATGTCTGGATTAAGAAGCATTACCAATAGGAATGGATCGATAGTTGAATAATGATTTTTTTTATACATAGATATATAAAATACAGCCAGGAAACCTTAATTTTAAAAAATAAAACAAACCCTCACAATTTATGTTTTTTCAAAGACTGATCTTAGACCAAGTCAAATTCCCATTTATCATTTAGTTATTTTTAAGGTTAGAGAAATAATTTGTAAATATTTATTTACACCTTTGATATTTATTAAAGCAATTACACACAATGTAAGTGAGAGAATCAGGAGAAAAAAACCTTTCAAAAAGTTTTCTCCAGGTTTGTCAGGGTCACTCTAAAGACAAAAATGTACCCAAGCCTTCTGTGAAATAATCACCCACCCAGTCCTGATGCTGTTGCAGATGGTGGTGACACAAGTTAATCGACAAGCGACTGCCTGGTGGTGCCCAGTGGCTTGGAGGACCTGTCTGGTAGCCACACGTCAACAGCGTCCCTGAACTACGCAGGCACATGGCATTCTCGGTCCCTCCTCATTGCTGTGAGATTGGTCAACGTCGCCGCGGTGCCGTGGTCTGGTCGAGACGACGTAACTGAGAACACTTACCTTCTCTGATTGTTTTCCAAGTTTTAAAACTTCGATCCACCCCTATGAGAGCAAGTTATTGTGGAACTATTTTTGGTGTGAAATCATTCCAGAGTGTGTACTATTTACCGATAGCTGCATGAAAGTAAGACTCGTGTTACTTTGGCTTTTTTGTCTCCGTTGACACGGTTGCACATTTCCAAGTTACTACAGTGTGAAAACTGTGTGTTTAAAAAAAAAAAAACAAAATTAAAAAAAGAGATTGTGGCCTGGTTTTGTAAAAGTTTTAGGTAAAATTACAATTGATTGTTTAGGAATCATTATTAAAAATTTTCTGCAAATCATAAGGCTATATCAAGGTGTTGAGCTTAGCCACTATGCACATTGTAATTACTCATTGTGGCTGTCCAGTTCTTCGATGCATTCTGGCATTTTGTAAGCTGCTCTGACTAGCAATATATAGACTCATTTAATGTGTTAACATTGGTTAATAAATGTATTTAAAAAAACCACCTTTAATAAATTGTTGATTTAGTCCATTAACCTAGGCCAAAACAAACACAAGTATATCACATAGTAATCACATACTGTTATCTATCTGCTGGTGACTAACTATATAAAATCAGTGTGTTAAAAACAGTTCTCTTAAACATTATGTAAAGTTGGATTTACTTTTAACAGTTCTCAAAAAATTCAAATTTGACTACAAAGCCCTTTTTCTTGACCTTTAGACTAGGCTGAACATACAGATAGAAAATTGTTCAATAAACATTTGACATTAGTCAATACCATTGATTTCAATATATCCAGACTCAAATCCATCATCTTGTTCTCACTTCACTCCTCCAACCAGTTCCCATGATGGTGATCTCAGTTCAAGCCAGCATCACCCTCCTGCCCAAACCACAATGCAGAAGTGGCCCAACCCTCTCTTTGCCTCCCCCTCTAATTCAGTGGTTCTCAAATTTCTGACATCAGGATCACAAGAGGGCTTGTTCAAACAAACACTTCTGTCCTCTCCCCACTCCCACTTTCATTGCTAACAAGTTCCCAAGTGTTGCTGATGAGGCCATCCTTTCAAAGGCACTGCTTTACTGATGGAAATAAACAGATATGCAGAAGGTCCCAGTATCTTACAGAGTCCTAGGGCCCATCCTTAGACTTCCATCCCCAGAAGAATCCAGGTCCCTCAAGTTAGCAATCCTGGATCCAGCAGGATTAGGCAAGCCAAGAATAGAATCAGTAGTAAGAGTCCTGTCACTGATTTAGATCAGAGGCCCTCAAACGTCCAAGTGCACACAGACAACCTGGGTGTCTACTTAAAGTGCACAGTCTGACTTAGACCATCTGGGGTGGGTGGAGCTGGGCATTCTGCCCTTCTGGCCACTGGATGACACCCGAGAGGCAAGTTCTTCAAAACTGCAACTCGCTGCTGAACAACCATCGACAGGAGAATCTTAGATCCCATTAAAAAAAAAAAAAATACCCCACAGCAAAGGCAAAGGAGAAGCCCCAGTGAGACAGAAGGAGGGGTGAAACTGCATTTAGAATCAAACCCATACCCGTCAGAGACGCTAGGAGGGCTCAAAATCTTGTGGGCACCAGGATCCAGAGACCTCACAGCCAGCCAGACCTGCCTCTGAGTGTTTGAGTGTCTCCTGCAGAGACATGGGTCAGCAGTAGCCTGCCCTGGGGACAGGGGCTCTGCTTGCAGCAGACCAGGGTCATGGAGCATGTAACACAAGCCCTTTTGGAGGAGGTCGCCATTAGCCCCACCATAAAGCCACTGAGCAGACGACCCAGAAACTGCAGAAAAATTATACCAAAGAAACTCTTGAACTGTCAAGAAAGTTCTAGGACACACAACAGAGTTCCCAACTTGGGGATCTGACAAAGGGACTGAGAACCCTCAGGGAATCTGACTTTGGAGGCCAGTGGGACTTCCACAGGACTGGGGAAACAGACTCTTGGAGGGCACAAACAAGACCTTGTGTGCACCAGGACCCAGGAGAAAGGAGCAGTGACCCCACAAGAGACTAAGCAAGATTTGCCCATTAATGTCCAGGAGTCTCCAGAGATCTGGGTCAGAGGTGGCCTGCTGGAAGGTCAGGGGCACTGAACACAACAGTGCCTGCACAAGACCTTCTGAAGGAGATCACCATCACCTTCATTACCACTACCATAGTTTGGCAACAGAAAACTACCATAGATTATCAACAGAAAATTGGATTAAAGATTTACTGAGCATGCCCCATCCATCAGAACAAGGCTCAGTTTACCCCACACTCAGTCTCTCCCATCAGGAAGCTTCTATAAGCTTTTATCCTTATCCATCAGAGGACAGACAGAATGAAAACCACTATCACAGAAAACTAATCAAACTGATCACATGGACCACAGCCTTGTCTAACTCAATGAAACTATGAGCCATGCCGTGTAGGGCCACCCAAGATGGACAGGTCATGAAGGAGTTTTGACAAAACGTGGTCCACTGGAGAAGGCAATGGCAAAGCACTTCAGTATTTTTGCCTTGAGAACCCCATGAACACGATGAAAAGGCAAAAAGATAGGATACTGAAAGATGAACTCCCCAGATCAGTAGGTGCCCAATATGCTACTGGAGATCAATGAAGAAATAACTCCAGAAAGAATGAAGAGATGGAGCCAAAGCAAAAACAGCATTTAGTTGTGGATGTGACTGGTGATGGAAGTAAAGTCTGATGGTGTAAAGAACAATATTGCATAGGAACCTGGAATGTTAGGTAGGTCCATGAATCAAGGTAAATTAGAAGTGGTCAAATAGGAAATAACGAGTGAATATCGACATTATAGGAATCAGTGAACTCAAATGGACTGGAATGAGTGAATTTAACTCAGATGACCATTATATCTACCTCCGTGGGCACAAATACCTTAGAAGAAATGGAGTAGCCCTCATAGTCAATTTAAGAGTCTGAAATGCAGTACTTGGGTGCAATCTCAAAAATGACAGAATGATCTCTCTTTGTTTCCAAGGCAAACCATTCAATATCACAGTAATCCAAGTCTATGCCCCAACCAATAATGCTGAAGAAGCTGAAGTTGATCAGTTCTATGAAGACCTACAAGAACTTCTAGACCTAACACCCAAAAAAGATGTCCTTTTCATCATAGGAGACTGGAATGCAAAAGTTGGAAATCAAGAGATACCTGGAATAACAGGCAAGTTTGGCCTTGGAGTACAAAATGAAGCAGGGCAAAGGCTAACAGGGTTTTGCCAAGAGGATGCACCAGTCATAGCAAACACCCTCTTCCAACAACACAAGAAAAGACTACACATGGACATCACCATATGGTCAATACCAAAATCAGATTGATTATATTCTCAGAAGCTGAAGATAGAGAAGCTCTATATAAAGTCAGCAAAAACAAGACTGGGAGCTGACTGTGGCTCAGAACATGAACTCCTTATTGCCAAATTCAGATTTAAATTGAAGAAAGTAGGGAAAACCACTAGACCATTCAGGTATGACCTAAATCAAATCCCATACGATTACACAGTGGAAGTGACAAATAGACTCAAGGGATTAGATCTGATAGAATGCCTGAAGAACTATGAAGAGAACTTTGTGACATTGTACAGGAGGTGGTGATCAAGACCATCCCCAAGAAAAGAAATGTAAAAAGGCAAAAGGGTTGTCTGAGGAGGCCTTACAAATAGCTGAGAAAAGAAGAGAAGCTAAAGACAAAGGAGAAAAGGAAAGATATACCCATCTGAATGCAGAATTCCAAAGAATAGCAAGGAGAGATAAGAAAAACTTCCTCAATGATCAATGCAAAGAAATAGAGGAAAACAGTAAGACAGAAAGATGAGATCTCTTCAAGACAATTAGAGATACTAAGGGAACATTTCATGCAAAGACGGGCACAATAAAGGACAAAAATGGTATAGACCTAACAGAAACAGATCTTAACAAGAAGTGCCAAGACTACACAGAGGAACTATATCAAAAAGATCTTAATGACCCAGATAACCATGATGGTGTGCTTATCACCTAGAGTCAATATCCTGGAGTGTGAAGTAAAGTGGGCCTTTAGGAAGCATCACTAGGAACAAAGTTAGTGGAGGTGATGGAATTCCAGCTGAGCTATTTCAAATCCTAGAAGATGATGCTGTGAAAGTGCTGAATATGTTAGCTTATTTGGGAAACTCAGCAGTGGCCACAGGACTGAAAAAGATCAGTTTTCATTCCAATTCCAAAGAAAGGCAATGCCAAAGAATGCTCAAACTACAGCACAATGGCACTCATCTCACACACTAACAAAGTAATGCTCAAAATTCTCCAAGACGGGCTTCAACAGTACATGAACTGAACTTCCAGATGTTCAAGCTGTATTTAGAAAACGCAGAGGAACCAGAGATCATATTGCCAACATCCACTGATCACAGAAAAAGCATCACTTCCAGAGAAACATCTACTTCTGCTTTACTGACTACACCAAAGCCTTTGACTGTGTATATCACAACAAACTGTGGAAAATTCTTCAAGAGATGGGAATTCCAGACCACCTTACCTGCCTCCTGAGAAATCTATATGCAGACCAAGAAGCAACAGTTAGAACTGGACATCAAACAACAGACTGGTTCCAAACTGGAAAAGAGTACATCAAGGCTGTATACAACCACTCTTTTTATTTAACTTATATGCAGAGTACATCATGCAAAAATGCTGGGCTGGATGAAGCAAGCTGGAATGAAGACTACCAGAAGAAATATCAATAACCTCAGATATGCAGATGACACCATCCTTATGGCAGAAAGAGAAGAAAAACTAAAGAGCCTCTTATGAAAGTGAAAGGAGAGAGTGAAAAAACTGGCTTAAAACTCAACATTGTAAAAACTAAGATCATGGCAAACAGGTGGGGAAAAAATGGAAACAGTGACAGACTTTATTATCTTGGGCTCCAGAGTCACTGCAAATGGTGACTGCAACCATGAAACTTCTTGGAAGAAAAGCTATGACCAACCTAGACAGCATATTAAAAAGCAGAGACATTACTTTGCTGACAAAGGTCTGTCTAGTCAAACCTATGATTTTTCCAGTAGTCATGTATGGATGTGAGAGTTGGACTATAAAGAAAGCTGAGCGCCAAAGAATTGATGCTTTTGAACTGTGGTGCTGGAGAAGACTCCTGAGAGTCCACTGGACTGCAATGAGATCAAACCAATCAATCCTAAAAAAAATCAGTCCTGAATATTCACTGGAAGGACTGATGCTGAAGCTGAAGCTCCAATACTTTGGCCACCTGATGCGAAGAGCTGACTCATTAGAAAAGACTCTGATGCTGGGAAAGACAGAAGGCAGGAGGAGAAGGGGATGACAGAGGATAAGATGACTGGATGGCATCACTGACTCAATGGACATGAGCCTGAGCAAGCTCTGGGAGTTGGTGATGGACGGAGGCCTGTCATGCTGCAGTCCATGGGGTCACAAAGAGTTGGACGTGACTGAGCGACTGAAGTCATTATTATTATTAGATATTACTACTAAATATTAAACCATTAAATAGTATCTAGTAACACTAAATATTAAACCATATAAAAAGAACAGGTTAAATTAATCTTAACACATCCTACCTAACCTCTGGAAAATAGTGGAAGACAAAGGAGCCTGATGTGCTACATACAGTCCACAGGGTTGCAAAGAGTTGGACATGACTTAGTGACTAAACAACAACAAACCTAGTATGTCCAGAATACTTCAAAATTTAACTTATATAACAATGAGATATTTTACATTGTTTATACTAAGTCTTCAAAATGCAGCATGTGTTTCATGCTTTCAGCAAATCTCCATTTGGACCAGTCATGTTACATTCTCCTGTGGCTGATGAGTACCCACACTGGACAGAGCAAGCTAAAAACAAGAGCTTTGTGTCACCAAGTTAAGTGCTCCTGTCAGCACCCGACCAGTTGTCAGTATTCATTGAGCAAATGTGTATTAGAAGAATTTATCAGTTTTCACCAGAACTTGACCTCTTTTAATGGTAGGTTCTTAATTTTTCAGTCTGAATTTTGAGAGCTTAGAAATCTTCAAGTCAGCAAACCTCTAAACTGACATTTCAATTAGGCAGCCCTGCAAAGGTGTCCTAAGGATGCCTATGGTTCTATAGGGCAGTTGGAAAACCTTTTATCTAACTCCTCAACCTCACACTGGAGAGGAAGTCGAGACCCAGGGCTGCTTCAATTCAGGAACCAGGCTCATGGCATCATACCTGCTCTTCCACAGCCCCATGAAGATGGTCTGTGGTCTAATAAAATCCAGCAATAATAAGAAATAACCCCTGCCCTCCAGGAACAGGAAACAGTGTAAGTGAAGGTACAGATTGCTAAAGCAGCTTTCTAGGAGACACAGTGTAGACATTCATTCAGCACTTGTGTTGTATGCCAAACGCATGATAAACAGCACAACATGTTTCCAGTCTCTATGTAGCTTATATTCTAGTGAGGGCATCGTCCAAGTAAGTGCAGCATTAATTATAACCCAGAGTTCGGTGCAATGAAGAAAAAATACAGGGCTACAGGATATTAGAAAGCTATGACAAGAGGGGAAACGATTAGGGGAGGTTTAAAAACCTGTATATCAGCTGAGACATGAAAGGTGAGTGGGAGTCGCTGGAGAAGTAAGGCATTCCAGAGGATCAAACATGATTTTGGATGATTCATTTTTCCCTTCATATTTTTACTATAACTGTAACTTTTAAGACCAGGGAAAAAAAAACACAGAAGAAAAACAAAATTCTTGCCTAGAGAGGTCTACAAGGTGAAAGGAAGCCATCAGAGAGGAAGCAGGACTGAGGGGTGCCATGACTGAACATCTAGAGGGAAACCAGCACAGTGACTGCAGAAGACAAGGGGAGACGGCTCAGAACGGCAGATGAAGAAGTGATTCTGTAATTGCTTTAGACCAAGCTTTCCTCTGAACCAGGCTTGTTCAATAAGTAAGGTCACAGGCAGTAGGCAAGGTTTGGTTTAAACAAAACAAATTATTATATAGCCTTTGTTGGAAAAAAAGAAAAAAAAAAAAGGAATGACAACCCACTCTTTTCTACTTCATTTTAAAGAGGATCATAAAAATTAAGAACGTGAAACTGTAATTCCTATAACCTTTTAATAATTACAGCTGCTGAGTTCTGCTCCCAGAGGTCAAAAAGTGGCTGTGGACCAAACTGTTTCCATTTGTCTGCCTCCTGTTTACATCTTGTGACCTGTATTCAGCTTTATTCTGCTGTAGATCTTTAGGGCAGAGTGTAGGAGTTCTTCTTATAAATAAATCACTTCCAAACATTTTATTTTGGATTTTACAGGAGTTTGAGGAGTTTCTGCTTCTGTTCAGAAGCAGAAACAGTCTTAAGCACTGCCCAAGAATCCCACAGAGCCCTCCCTCAGACCCCAGCACCTTCTTGGAGAGTGGCTGTGACACCCCTACACTGGGTGGGGGTGGGGGGGCTCCTCACCTGGTTGTGTAGGGGGCTCCTCATCTGGCCTGTTGGCGAGGAGCTGCATCTGCTCTGCTCCTGGTCCTTATCCTTGGCTGCCCTGAGCTTGGGTCTGAACAGAGAAAATCCATAATTAAGAAGGGCTCAATGAGACAAGTGCTCGGGCCTGGTGCACTGGGAAGACCCAGAGGGATCGGGTGGAGAGGGAGGTGGGAGGGGGGACCGGGATGGGGAACACATGTAAATCCATGGCTAATTCATTTCAATGTATGACAAAAACCACTGCAATGATGTGAAGTAATTAGCCTCCAACTAATAAAAAAAAAAAAAAAAAAGAAGGGCCCAGAAGAAAGGATGAGGGAAGGACAGACCGGTGGAAGAGGAAGTTCACCCGGCAGAAGGTTCCATGTACAAGTTACATCTTAGTCCTTATGCTGACTGTCCCCCTGGGGAAGCAGCTGTCAGGGAAACCAGCATTTCAGCTCTTTATCTGTGTGGAAGCTACCTTTCCAAGTCTGTCCATCTATGTATCATTTACCTCTGTTCTAAAACCCTTCCTTCAGCTCTGGGAGTGACAGTTGTCTCCAAGCCCCTACCTGTTCACACCTATCTTTTTTTGTTTTTCCTTTCTCTTTTAACCATCCAGCTCAGGTCCCACAGTGAACTTTTCTTTGAAAATCAGTCCTTCCCCTCTGGTCTGATTAGTAATTATGACCAATTCCTCTAGCCGCAGCAATGGTTGCCATCTTGATGCATGTAGGTACTTCTTGGTCTCCTAGAAAGGTTCCTCCGGTCAGTAACCATAGTCCAAGGCTTTGGGGTGTGAAACACATGGTAGGAAACCAGGAGTGAACCTAAGTCCTAGGTCTCTGACATACCTATGCTTTATTATGCTTCTCTTCCCCAACACCTCCCCACCCCAGAGAATTCTGTTTCAGACTGTACAATGAGAGAGGAGATGTGTTAAAAGTAATCTAGTTTACGCACATGCTCAAAATCCTTCAAGCTAGACTTTAGCAGTATGTGAACTGAGAACTTCCAGATGTACAAGAAGAACCAGAGATCAAATTGCCAACATCCACTGGATCATAGAAAAGGCAAAGGAATTTCAAGAAAACGTCTATTTCTGTTTCACTGATTATACTAAAGCCTTTGACTGTGTGAATCACAACAAACTGTGGAAAATTCTTAAAGAGATGCGAATACCAGACCACCTTACTGGTCTCCTGAGAAACCTGTATGTGGGTCCAGAAGCAACAGTTAGAACCTTACATGGAACTGTAAGGTTGTAATGTTGAAACATGACTGTTTCAACATTGAGAAAGGCATAAGACATGGCTATATATTGTCACCCTGCTTATTTAACTTATATGCAAAGTACATCATGAGAAATGCCAGGCTGGATGAAACACAGGCTGGAATCAAGATTTCTGGGAGAAATATCAACAATCTCGGGTATGCAGATCATACCACTTTAATTGCAGAAAGCGAAGAGGAATTAAAGAGCCTCGATGAAGGTGAAAGAGAAGAGTGAAAACGCTGGTTTAAAACTCAACATTCAGAAAACTAAGATCATGGCATTCAGTCCCATCACTTCATGACAAACAGATGGAGAAAAAGTGGAAACAGTGACAGATTTTATTTTCCTGGACTCCAAAATCACTGTGGATAGCCACGAAATTGAAAGACCCTTGGCTCCTTAGAAGAAAAGCTATGACCAACCTAGATAGAGTATTAAAAAGCAGAGACATCACTTTGATGACAAAGGTCCGTATAGCCAAAGCTATGGTTTTTCTGGTAGTCATGTATAGATGTGAGAGTTGAACTATAACAAAAGCTGAGCGCCGAAGAATTGATGCTTTTGAACTGTGGTGTTGGAGAAGACTCTTTAGTATACCTTGGACTGCAAGGAGATCCAACCAGTTAATCCTAAAGGAAATCAGTCCTGAATATTCATTGGAAGGACTGATGCTGAAGCTCAAATTCCAATACTTTGGCCACCTGATGTGAAGAACTGACTCACTGGAAAAAGACCCTGATGCTGGGAAAGACTGAAGGCGGGAGGAGAAGGGGATGATAAAGGGTGAGATGGTTGGATGGCATCACCGACTTGATGGACATGAGTCTGAGTAAGCTCCAGGAGTTGGTGATGGACAGGGAGGCCTGGCATGCTACAGTCCACGGGGTCTCAAAGAGTCAGACATGACTGAGCGACTGAACTGACTGAACTGAAGCAGACCAAAAAGAGGGCTTAATTGTTCACATTACAAAGGATGTAGGGTCTCTGTAAACAGCTTCTCAAGTGTTTCTCCTTACATCCTGAACATCTGAGTTAGAAACTAATAGCAAATGTGTGAACCTCTGCTGACAGATGATCAATCAGGCACTGAAATAGAAAATTCTGAACTTGGCTGTTCAAAAACAATCTTGACATTTTGAGGACTCCCCTGCTGTTCAGTGCAGGACATCAGACACCCCAGCTCCTACTCCATAAAGGGTGGAGCATCAGCAGAAGCCACCCCACATGCCTGCATGCCCGCGGTCGTCCGGAGGTTGTCCCATCCCCACAGTTCACTCTGAGCAACAAGAGCCCCTTTCTCCATGCAGCCCTGGATGGAGCTGGTTGGTTATGAGTAGCAGCAGCTGCTGGGTGTTTGTCTGGTTAGAGGTCAAACCTGAGGAACAGCGAGGGTAGGAAAACGAGACTGTCTGGCCTCAGCCCTTCTTCATGGCGACAGAAGAGTTTATGTGACCTCCTGCCCTGGCAGAACCAAGACTGACCATCAGTCTCTGAGTTGGAGTCAGAGGTCAGCTCAGGCCTTGCAGTCCCTGCCGGACACGGACTTGAAGGAGGTGGACTGCTCTGCCATCTCATCCCAGCAAGGACCCATGGTTGGTGCTCAAATATTTACTGACTGAGAAAGTGAAAGAGACAGAAGCCCAGAAATTAAAACATTTAGAGCCCAAACTATTAGACTCAGAAACTAATTATTGCTTTTGAAAGGAAAACCAGAATCAGCAGTTAATTCTCAAAAGTTTGCCTTCCTACCTGTGTGTCTTAAAACAGCAATCAGCAAACTGCAATCCCAAACCTGGCCAAATCCAGCTACCATCTGTGAAGGGACCAGAAGCTAAATATCACATTTATACTTGAAAAGAATCCAAAGAGTAATATTCATGATGGGAAAAAGGTTGAAGCCTGTGTTTCTGTACTCATGTCACAAGTCAAGTGCTGTGGGGCCAGGTCCTTTTGCCCAGCGACTGAAGGGCTGCACTTACGTCAGGACGGAGGGTTTCAGACTGAAGCTGACCGGCCCATCAGACACAAGTGTCACCATGTCTTCCAGGCTGGCAGTGGCCTGGTCGAAGCCTCACGGGACCATGGCTGGGACACAACACACTCAATGTGCCGTCGTCCATCGGTGTAAGTGCCCACTAGCTACCAATGGTTCCTAAAGCATTCCTAAACCCACTGAGACCAGACGACGCCTCGCAGTCCATTTATACCTCCAGGAATTTGGGCTGGTGACACGCCGCTGCCCACAACGTGCAGGTGACTCCACCCTCCAAGCCGCGCTGCCCTCTGGAGCTGGAGCAGCTTCACAATCAGAGCATCCATCTTCAAGGATCCACAGTGGTTCTCGGCCTCAGATGCTCCCGCTGCCGCCTGACCTGTGGGGAAGCCCCCTGGACAGCAGTCAGGACAGGTGGCCTCTGTCCTCTCCTGGGGAGGGTGGTGGAGGGGGACACATGGCAGCGCCATCCTCCACTTCTGGTGCAGGAACTCGCCAGGGGTGACTCAACAAGATGTGTGGGTACATCCGGTCCCTTGGAAAGCGTCCGTGGGAAAGCTGTGAGGGGACGGCTCTGGCTGGGTTACCCTCACCTCTGCTCTGACCCAGGCTTCGCCAAAGTGTGGGTCCCAACGCTGTCCTCATCCTCCTGACGGTGAACAGAGAAGGGAGGCATCAAGCTCGCTGACCTCGGCTCTAGGGCTGCTCCCCTGCACCTCCTGAACGCCTCCTGGGGCAAGAGGGGGTTGCACCTGCAGAGAACACTTGCTTCTGTCCCCCCAGGGTCCATACCAACATGGAAACAAAGTGCAGGGGAGCTGAGGCCAGGCTCAGACCCCTGTGCCCACCGTCTTGTCTTCCATTTCCACTGTGCCTTCACGTTTCTGCAGGTCAGCCTGTCCCCAGAGCCCGACAGCCCAGGTGAGCCCTGCACCCTCCCACACAGCGCCAAGTGAGGGGCTGGAGGAGAGGCTTTCCCACCTGACTGTGCTCAGAGCCAGACCCCTGCCTGCCCACCTGCTGGCCTCCTGCCTCAGCCCTGGGAGGGTCCCCAACTCTTCCCCCCATGAATGACGAAGTCAGGGAGTGACAGTGACATGCAGGGTGGAGGGGTGAGGAGCAGGAAGGGAGAGGAGGGTCTGCCCCAGCCTGAGGAGCTGACACGGGCTGTCCCGAGGCAGCAAGGCCCACCCAGATCTCACACTGACCTTGGTGCTGCCATTACTCTGTTCACGGATTAACCTTAAAATCGAGAAGACAGCAGAGATGAGTGGAAGGACCCACTGGAGGGGAGCCAGAGTGGCCTTGACGGGAAGATGCCACTGAGGGACCAAGCACCGGCTACCAGGGATGGCGGAAGACAGAGACCAGCCCAGCAGTCAGCACTGGGCAGGCTCTGCTGAGCAGGGGGAGTGAGTCACAGAGGACCTGGTGCTGAGGGAACGGAACCTCTCTCCTCGGAAGCAGTGACACTACGTCCCTCCACGTGACAGACCATCTGACTCAGGCCACCAAGACGTCAACAAGGACGGTAAGACCCAGAATTATGATCAACCTGCCAACCAAACTCCGGCCTGTGTCCCCTGGTCTCCGCACCATGCTGGAGGGCGTGGACCAAGGCAGAAGAAGGAACTCTATGCGTGTATGCGGGAACGCACGTGCTGCCTGAAGCACGGCCACTCCCGGCAGATCTCCTGGCAATGCCCAGTCACCCAAACAGGTGGTCTACACCAGCCACCGACTTCCACACCCCCAAGTTAGCATGGACATTCCTTGTTCCAAGGGAATTCTAACACAAAGGCACTTGGTGAAGTCTGGTGGTTTTACCCTTTCATAACCATTAGGCTGGAAGTCAGTTAAACCCACTACCACTTTCCAAGAGACAAAGACAAAAGAAAAACAAAGATAATTGGGTTGGAATCGTCAGCGAGACCTCGGTCCTGGCCAAGGTTCTGGCCAAGGAGCAGCAGAGTTTGTGCACACAGACTCACACTCCTTGTCCCTCAAGGTTACCAATAATCTGTACACTTGGAGAAAATGTGAACAAATATATTTAGATATATTTAAAAGAATTAAAAAAAACATTTCACAAAACATTTGTTGCCATAGGAATTTTTTAGCAATAAATGCCCACATCAAAATTTAAACATTGTTCAAAGTATGATTATCTGTACTGGTAAATAATGCAACAAATTATGTAAACAGAGTGGGATCCATTCCTGGTAGGAGTCATTTCCTTCCTGGGATGGAAGCTGGCCCAGCTCTCCAGGGGACCAATTAAGAAACTGCTATTTTCAGAGCAACAAAAATAAAAGCTTTTATTTGTTCATTTGAATATAAAACAGGCGTTATCACAGATGTACAAAGCTTACTGGTGGTTTAACATACGAGAAGGTTGCTGTCCTTTGCACATAAAAATTTTGTTTGGAACCGTGATTGGCTGAGCACATGAATCTCTCTAACCAGTCACCACACTATGAAGCAACGCTGCTAGCATCTGACTATCAAGGGACCATTTCCCTTGGGGAAAGTGTCAAGCAGGGTTAGATAGATATAACAAACAAGCACCATGAGGAAGCCGCCCTGTTGGTTGGTCTGAGTCTTGGTGGTCGCTGTGTACCCTCCTTTGTGCAAGTTGACCACACGGTTTTATCTGACTTCAAAAGCACAAGGTCACGAGACAAACACTGGCTATGTTCTCATGAACGACTCGTCCCAGCAGTTTCCATTAACAGTACAGAACGATCCTCCTTTATTGCTAAGTGGGTGGTACTGAGAGTCTCATTCCTTTTCTTGCACAACAGAACCTGGATCTCAGCCCTGAGCCCTTGGCCCTCACCGCTGGCACAGGCAGCAGGCCCGAGGCCTCACGAGGGCACCAGCAACCTCACAACCCCTCGCTGGGCCTTAAGTCCCGCTTCCTCATCAGTGTCTGACCCGAAACTGCCCCCTCCCACCCTTCCACAGGGCGGGTGTGTGTCCTGTGTGTGTGGTGGGGGTCCGCCCTACCCTTCCACACTGTGGGTATGTGTGTCCTGTGTGTGTGTGGTGGGGTGCCCCCTACCCTTCCACACTGTGGGTGTATGTATCCTCTGTGGTGGGGTCTCCCCCATACCCTTCCACATGGTGGCCATGTGTCTTCTGTGTGGTGGGGTCCCCCACTACCCTTCCACACGGTGTGTGTGTGTGTGTGTGTGTGTGTGTGTGTATGTGTGTGTGTGTGGTGGGGTACTCCCTGGCTCTTCCACATGGTGGGCGTGTATCTTCTGTGTATGCGGTGGGGTCCCCCGCTACCCTTCCACACGGTGTGTGTGTATGTGGTGGGGTGCCCCCTGGCCCTTCCACATGGTGGGTGTGTACCTTCTGTGGGTGGTGGGGTCCCCCCTACCCTTCCACATGGTGGGTGGGTGTGTGGTGGGGTCCCCCCAGTCCTTTCACACAGTGGGCGTGTATCTTCTGTGTGGTGGGGTTCCCCCCTACCCTTCCACATGGTAGGTGGGTGTGTGGTGGGGTTCCCCCGGCTCTTCCACATGGTGGGCGTGTACCTTCTGTGTGTGGTGGGGTCCCCCCTACACTTCCACACAGTGGGCCTGTATCTTCTGTGTGTGTGTGGTGGGGTACCTGTGACCCTTCCACACAGTGGGCATGTGTCTTCTCTGTAGGTGGTGGGGTCCCCCTTGGGAAGCAGAAGACTGGGAATGTTTATCTGAAGCATGTGGAGAAATACTCATACACAGCAATGAAATCAAAATATTTTAAAAATCAAATAACTTGTGGAGATGGAAGAAACCCCACATGTAGACAAATTTTTTAAAAATGCCACTTAAAATTCTAACAGCAATTAGCCTTGGATCTCCGAAGTCAAACAAAACTCTCTTGTGGCAAAGGGCTCAGTGCCAGTGCACAGAGCAAGGCAGGTGAGACCACCACAGAGAGAGGGTCTCAGTCTCGCCGGCAACACTCTGAACCAGGCAGACCCCACACAGGAACCCCGGGCACACTGGGGCAATCATGGAGGGGATCTCACTTGGAAGCTGGTACCTCTTCTTGGCTGGAGGCCGACGAGCTGGTTCAATCCGGGAGTGTGCGAGGGGCTCTCAAAGTTTCAAGGTGCATGAGGCGGCAGCAGCAGCAAGAGACGGAAATCAGAAGCATGTCCTTGCAGCAGGAGCAACGACAGGGCTGGGAGCCTCCCACTCCAGCCAGCACAGCTGGGGCAGCTCCGTGCATGACCTCCTAGTGAGTCTCCTCCCTTAAAGCCGCTGAGGGAGTCAGCGCAACCCGCTGCCAATGACCACAGAACGACATTCCTTTTCATACCAAGGACCAAAAAAAGGTGACAAACAAAATGATGAAAACACTGTGCAATGAATTCTTATAGCCGAGGGAGCGCGTGCAGTGGGCCAGCTGCTCCCAGGCCACGCGTTGCGGTGGGCACGCGGCACCGAAAGTCCGTCACGACCCCGCGGCAGAGGGAAAAGTGCACACCCGGCTCCAGTCTGCCACCTCCGAGGCGCTGGCCCCACAGCTGGTCTCTGGCTCCAGAATAGAAGCTCTGGGCTGCAGGCCGTCTGGTTGCTCACACCAGCAACGGCGAGAGTCTATCTACAGTGCAGCGGAGGGGACACCATGCAAGTGACAGGTTCTGTGTTTTAAACTTTAAAATTCCCTTTGTTCTTAGTGAACTTATATTTCATATATATATATATCTGTTGTGATGCTATCCACGCAAGATAATACAACACTTTTTATATTAGCAAACATTACAAGACTTTAATATTCTTGAATGTTTTCTCTGTTATACTTCTAAAGAGATCAAAATAAATTAAACGTTTTGTACATAATTACATATGGAGTTAACTTATTTTATCTTTTTAGTTTAGTACAAAGATATCTGCAAGGTAATTGCCGAAATACACCTTATTTATAATTTCCTCTCATTCTATGATAACTTGGAGGGCCGATCATCAGTCTGTTTCTTCAGTACGTTTTTGACAAAGAAAGCGGCTAAAATCTAATTGGAAGGTGCTATTTGGAAGGTTTTCTCGTACCTTGACACATTGTCCTAAAAGGATGGGCTCCAGCAATGGCTTAAATCAGTAGCAGGTCCATGGCATTAAGATTTCATGACACATTAAAACAGAGAAAACAATTCTTTGTCACACTACATGAATTGTTTAAAAGAACCCATCTGGAGGGCAGAATATTTTTTTTAATTGCTATTTTGGCTTAACAAAATACCACTTTTACGAAGAAAGCACTTATTATTCAATAATTAAAAAAAAAAGAAAAGAAAGTTCTTGAAATGGGCTTTTCCAACAAACTAAAGGCAGTTAACGCAAAGTCCTTGTGAGCAAACTTCACATTCACGTCTCATCCCTGTGTGACCAGGACGTGTGGGAAGTCTCCCCACCACACGGTGAGGCTCTGCTGGAGAAGGTGCCCTGGTGCCCACACTTGCGACACTGAACAGGGGGCCCCAGGCGTCTACATGTTGTAGGCCACGTAGATGAAACACTACGTGGGCATCTACATGTTGTAGGCCATGTAGATGGAGGCCCCAGGTGTCTACATGTTGTAAGCCACGTAGATGAGACACTATGTGGGTGTCTACAAGCTGCAGGTCATGTAGATGAGACACTATGTGGCGTCTACATGTTGTAGGCCACGTAGACAGGGGCCCCGGACATACTAGGTGGGCGTCTACACATTGTAGGCCACGTAGATGGGGGCCCCAGGCATCTACATGTTGTAGGCCATGTAGATGGGACACTACTTGGCGTCTACATATTGTAGGCCACGTAGATGGGGGCCCCGCGCATCTACATACATGTTGTAGGCCACGTAGATACGGGCCCTGGGCGTCTACATGTTGTAGGCCACATAGAAGGGACACTACGTGGCATCTACATGTTGTAGGCCACGTAGATGGGATCCAGCTGGTCGGCTAGGAAGCCGTCACGCAGGTGCATGCGCTGCTTCTCCCCCCGGGAGTTGATGGGGATGACGCCGATGTCCACCACCACCACCACCCCCACCACCAGGTAGTGCTCCTCCAGGACCACGTTGGTCACCAGGGGGACCAGGTCCAGGGCTTCCTGCTCGGACCCATCGAGCTCAACCACAACCACCAGCAAGTTTGTCCAGGTGAACACGGCACTGGAAGAAAAAGAAGCGTCACTGTACAATTGGAACGACTCCATTCTCTCTGGATGCCCCACTGGGCTCCTGCTGGGCACTGAGCTGTCTCTGGTCTGCAGGTTCCAGAGCAGCTCTGACACTCCTTGCGTCTACACCTCTTACCAACCTGCTCGCCTGGTGGCAGCCCACCCCCGCCTTCCCTGGATCCACACAAGGCCCTAAGGGTGGAACCCATCCCAAAAGGCACTTGGGAAGCCTGCAGTGTGGTCAGCGGGACCATTGCTGAGCTGGGACAGTGGGCGCTAGGGCTAGTCCTGACCTGCCTCTGTCCTCAGGGGGTGAATGCGTGTGCACATGAGGAGAAGAGCCACCATGCTGGGTCAGGTACCTCAGTGCTCGACTGCAGACCTGGGGCGCACAGACAGATTCTGTCTCAGGAACTGGGTGAGGGCAACACAGGGGACCTGATTCAGGTGGATGAGTTCCTGGGGATGCCAGGGCTTCATCCAGAAGTGTCAGGAGGACCATTCACAGTATCTTGTCTGCCCAGTTTGTAAAAGCCTAACTAAGTCCAATGTTTTACACTTTAGGCCACCTTGACGTCAAATAGTAGGGCTTTTAAAACATGAATATTTAAGAACCTTAGCAAACTGGACCCCCGTGGAGGGCGGGGTAAAGCTCTGGGGCCTGCAGTGGCTGCTGAAGTCATATACAGAAAAGGTTCTGTCTTAGCTATGAGGCAGGTAGTGTCTAGGGAAAGTCATCACTGTTTCCTAAAAGCATAGGGTATGCCTGTTAACAAAAAATGTGTATTTTGCTTAGTATGGCCAATGATCACATTAAAATGGAAGAGGGACACTGGAGACTCCTGGGGCTGGCTCTGTGACAAGGGTCACCCCGAGGGAGCTGCTGGAGAGAACTGCACGTCTGTGAGTCATGTGACTGCTCGTGGCCATGCTGGGGACGGTTTTATCCTGACATCTGGCATGGAGGGTGCAGCATCAGGGTCAGTGTGGATCCCACAGTTCACTGAGAAGGGGTGCAGGGGGCAGCGGAAGGCTGCTGGAGCCCACCTGGGGCCACAGCAGCTGAGGGTGGCTGGGCTGTGCTCAGTGAGGCAGTCACAGATGTGACCCAGCCTCACACCCCCCCTTCTCTGCACCAAATGACTGATGGGGCTGCCTAGGGTAGCCACAGCCTAGGGAGGAGGGTGACAGCAGAACCATGGTGCCGCTTGCACTCTGAGGAGAGAAGCACCTCGCGACCAAGCCTGATGCTTCTTCCCTCTTGGGGCCTCTGAGAGTAGAGAAAGGAGCAAGCTTCACAGTATCTAAGTGACGCTCAGAACAGACAAGAGAAACCCACAGGGGAACCCTGGCCACACACTTTCCAGTGGAAATGGCACCTTTTCAACAAGACAGAAAATATACGAGGGAGGAAACACAAGCCACTTGAAATTATTTTCTTAAAAAATACAAAAACAGAAGGCTGAGATGGCTATTTACACCTCAGTGCAAACTGAGGCGGACCCCTACCGTTTCTGGCTGACACCTTTCTCCACTCGAGTGGAGAGGCAGCTTTAGAGGTGGCGGACTTGTGCTCAGACTGGCTTGTCGCTGCTTGCCCTGAAACAAGGCACCGAGTGGGGACGAAGCTCTGCCGTCCACTTGCCCCTTCTGTCGGCCGAGCCCTCTGCGCGGTGCAGCATGTGGCCGAGAACACCAGCCTGCGTCAGCTGACAAGAGGCAGCTGACACTCGCAGGCCAACCCATCTGCCCCCCTAGAGATTTCAGAAGGAGCCTCCCTGGGGTCTCCTGCCCTGAGCTTGCAGACAGGCCCCCTCAGGCCTCCACCCTTCAGGGAACCAGGGCGGTGAGAGGAACAGCGGCCAGTGGTGCTGAAGCCACTGTCCATGCTCAAGTGCCATGTGAAGGCCCCAAGGAGTGGTGGGTGCTGCTGCTCCCAGGCACACTTGAAAGTTACAGCCACCAAATGGCCAGGGCGGGCACCACGTGGCCTCCAAGGCCACCTCCAAGGGTGGTGGGATGGGTGACCTGTCACTGATGACCCTATGTCGCTGGCAAGCATAGCCTCTCCTGGAGCTGAGGCCTTCCCACAGGGCTCGCTGGGTTCAGACTCCCTGTGGACAGTGTTTTCCCCTATATCACGTTTTCCGTAACAAAAAATCAAATAATTGGCTCCTTGGAAACACCCCCCAGCCCTCCGTCCATCACCTCAGGAAGAGCACCAACTGCGCCAAGGGTGCTCATTAGAGGTTCGGGTTCACCCTGGCCCTTGGGCTGCCTGCCTGCTCCTCACCATTCCGTGACGCTCTTGTGGGCTCTGATGACTGAGGTCTCGATGTCTATCGGGTGATACCTCATGCCGCGCAGCTCCATGGCCTCGTCCAGGGCCCCCACCACGTAGAGGGCATCATGGCGCTCTGTGTGGGGAATGAACACTATGTGAGCTTCACTGCAAAACTGCTCGAGTCTCATAACGAATAAAGATGAGCGCTACCCCTGAACATGGAAGAGAGGCACAAGAAAGACCCCTGAGCAAGGGTCCAGTTTCCCTTCTCAGGGAAACTGCAGCCCAAGGAGCTCAGTGAAGAGGTGTGGCGGTGAGGGGTGGGGGCTGTGTGGCCATGTGACTGGCCGCATGCCTGCACGGTCCCCTCGCCCAAGGGGCAGCCTCCACATACATCCCTCGGCAGCACTGTCTGAGATGCAGTAGAGTCACATGAGAGGACCCAGCACAGCCAAAGCAACACCAAGCTCCCTGTGGTTCCATCACACGAGGGTTCAACTCTCTTATCACTACATGTCTGAGTGGGAAAGAAAGCGGAGTTTCCGAGAATGTTCATAAACAAAGATTCCCTTAGTTCATGTAATTGGTAAAGTTATTCTTGTCAATTGTGTAAACTCTGGGATAATGACAACATGCAGTCCATCTTTGCTTGAAAACAAGGAGATCTCTTTCATCTTCAGGGTACTGAGTGCATCAGGGTGAGTTTATGAGAAGTGACTGACACATGAAATACCAGAAAATAAATCTTCTCCATCTCTACGCTAAGGCAGACAAGATGGAGGCAGTCACTTGCTAACTTCTGACCACAGCTGCTGGGGCCTCCCACCCCTCCCAGCCCACGGACTCCACAGGCAGAACCAGCGCTGAGGTCTGGGTGTTGCTAAGCTTAGTTCCTCAGGGAATCCCAGGGGGCACCCTCTATGACTTCCCCAAACTGAAAATACAATGCCAGCCAGCGACGACATCAGTGCCGCCCCAGCCTGATCCCTGTGATGGGAAGGTGTTTTCTGAGCTTTTGCCTGCAATGAGAAGCTGAGCGGGCTTCACAGCCAACAGGATGCTGTGTGGACCAGCTGCCAGCCTTATAATGTGTCTGTGCTGAGACCCCAGAGCCTGCACGGACATGCCTGCCCTCTATGAGGGTGAAGAGGCTGGGCTCCCATGGAAAGGAGCAAGCCACGCCCCTGCTTAACACCAGTCTGAAGTTAGAAGGTCTGAACAAAGAACAAAGCACACAAAATGGAATCCAGCTCTCGGAGGATGCAAAATACGGAATTTTCTTATACAACTTACCTGCTTCAAATTAGCATACAATCATTTCAGCCTTCCTAAATAAATGTTTTATTTTTTAAATCTTAAAAAAATAAAAGAAAATACAACACCAGAATATTTCGATACTTTTCCCCTGCATTCTTCCTGGTCTGGCCTGGCTGGCACGGCTCCTACTAGGCAGGTGGGTTGGAAGACTTGCTGATCTCCAGTGCTGGCAGATCTCACAAGAAACTTCAGGCCCCCCGCCCCGGAGTAACACCCAAGTCCTGCCTCTGTTTTCAGTGAAATAAGGAGTGGAGAGAGGACTCCAGGATCAGCAACGTGAGGAGCAGACAGGCTCCTACATGTTGGTTCTGTGTCACACCCACACTCAGCACTAGCCCTCTGAACTACTGTTCCCTGAGGGCACCTGGCAGGACCAGAGCACTCGAGGCCAGTGCCTCCCGTCCGGAAGAGAACAACGCAGCTTCAGGGGTTCCTGGGTGGGGCTGGCAGCGCCAGAGTTGGTGACAAGCCGGTGAGCTGCACTTACAGGCACTTGTCAGAGACAACACAGCCCCCGGCCCCTGCCCTGGTTTTACATGTGTTCCTAGCTCACGGAGGAGGACAGAGCATGGGACGTGCGTCCTCAGCTGCCGACGTGCATAATCTGAGCAGGCTCTCTCACCCTGGGCTCTCTCTCGCGTGCCCCCACCCACCCCCTGCCCCATAGTCTCTCTCGCCCCAACCCAGCTCTCCCACCCTTGGCTGTCTCCAGGCTGCCTGCAGCAAGCATGCAAGCACACACACTCTCCTGGGACTGGGATCCCAAACACACACAGGTTTTCGGTGTCTGAGGACTTCCTGCCTCCTATTGGGAACTCTCACCTCCATTTGCATCAGTGAGTTCAGTTCTCCGTAGGAATCCCAAGTAGCCTGTTCGTGCCCAGACTGTCTGTGTGTCTCCAAAGCTTAATCTTGAGTTGAAGTGATCTGACTGGAGGGATTCATCTCCATAAATAGTGAAGTAACCACTGGCATTATGGGCACTGTGAACCCAGATCTGTAAGGAAGCAAAATGTACTACATAAGTTAACTTGACATGGTGTCCAGGGCAGAAACTACTTTTACAATTCAACAGATTGTATTCCGTCTGTCCCTGGCCTGCAAAAACAAGACAGCTTGTTTCCAGAGAGACACAGACACCGCAAAGTTTGCTGAAATGAAAACATGACAGCACACTCATGGTTGAGCAAACAACCAAGCCCTCATCTCCGGAGAATCCTATTAAAGTAGATGAACTAAGGGCTTTTGAAATAAATATCAAACGAATGAGGCTGTAAGAGTTTCCTTGTATTTATTCAAATGTACTGATTGCTTCCAAAAAGCAAGCTGGAAAAATGTTAAAAAGCTTTCTGATTTATTTTCCCCCTTCACTTGGTTTGTATACTTTGGGGAATATATTGTAATAAAATAACACAACACAAAAACTCTAGAAGGGAAAGGCATTGTAACAACAAAAAATGGAGAATAAAAATGCCTGAATGTTGTATCTTGGGAAATGGTATTTGAATCAGGGACAAAGGGTCCAGCCAGCAGCCCTCAGCCACACCTGCCAGGGCAAACCAGGCAGCAGCCCAGGGATGAGGGTCTCCAGCAAGTGAGGGGAAGAGAACCTGTCAGACAGGTTTCCAGCACAATGCCAGGGTGCAGTGGTCTCCGCCCCTTGGCCCAGCACTCAGCTCTGAGAGGATACGTGCTATGAGGACAGCAGGGGCCAGATGCAGCAGGCAACACGTTTAATTTTCATTCTTAGATGTGCATTTAAAGGAAATTCCTAAATAAGGCCCGTATAGCATTTCATCATTTCGATTTTGATCTTCACATGGAGAGAGATGAGTGAGGGGCCAATCAACTGCCCAAGAAGGAGAAGGGTCTGGGGGTGATGGTGGCTGAGATTCAGGCCCCATCACCACTTCCTCCCTCACCATGTACACGTACGTGTGTGCCATGGTGCCCAAGAGAGCAGCGGGGCTGGTGTGTGAGTCGGGTACCATCAATGGCAGTGTTTTGTGTGCGGCCAGGACAGGTTAGAAGAAGAGAGGCAGCTGACCACAGGGTGGGTGGCACCTATAGGAGTGTCCTTGTGGGCAGGTCATGGTCACTGTGGCCTGGCCTTGGAGAGGAAAATGGGGTTGGGGAGGCAGATGTGTTGGAAGCAAGTTAATCAGGGAGCGAGGTGGATGGGAAGGGCAGAAGGGTGCGCATGGCCAGCAAGCAGGGCGAGTTTCAGGACAGCAGCCCAGGAGGGGTCTCCTGTGGCCGCATGCAGTCAGCAGTGTGAGGGGCACAGGGTGGGTGGGGAGTCACTGGGTAGGTTGCATCATCAACACAAGGGAGTAAAAGTGACTTTCTGACCCAGACAAACGCCTGTTGTGTCCCCAGTCTGCCTGCCATGGTTGTTGGTGCTGCTATGATTCTGGGTTTGGCAAGATTCCCTCTGCACATTCGCTATCATGTTCCTGATGAAAGACTTCTCTGCTGTGAAGCAGGCACATGGAACTCAAATGGAGAGCTGAAAAACAAGGAAACTCTGCCCACACACAGGAAGTTTCCTCTTTGCTAAATGTTTTGAAGAGAAATGTGATACTCGTAAGTAAACACCACTTCATAATCCTGAAACTTCACAGACACCCCATTCCTCACCTCGCCCAGGTGTGAGTCTCCCAAGGGTCCTTTCGTTTCTGGATTGGCAATGATGATCCGCACCCCTGGAAGTATCTATGTGGGGAGGAACAGTCTTGTCAGTGGGCAGACAGGCACATGCTTCATGCCAAGTGCCTGTTTTCCCTATTAAAATGGTTTAGAAAGTGAATGGCTTTAAATCAAAATTGCAAACCACAGCATCACATAATGACAGCAAATTGAGGACATTTCATTGTAACTATTTACAATGACAGAGCCTGTGTTAAAATGATCCTAAAAGTGAGACTTTGAACAAAAACATGATAAATGATATAATTTAACAAGCTTGATGCTTGTAAAGTAGAACTAGTGGAGCTGCTTTGTGGTGTCCAGAAGAGAAAGCAGTCCCGCCAGAGCGTCTGCTGCACCATGCAGATTGCGGCCCTGACCCTCCTCTGCCACACTGCCCACTTTTCCTGTTGGCTGACAATAGTACAACATTGACACTGAGCACCTCCTTCTTAATGGACATTTAGCTCAGAAATGCTCTGAATTCTACCGGAACCATGTAAAGAATCAAAAGCTGATTCTGGAAATTTAGAATGGAGCCCCTCTTGCTTCAGCTACTAAGTGTGCAGCTGAGATAAGGCAACACACCTGTGGTGAGAGCTATGGGAGCATGTCTGGTGAATGACCCACCAGGTCGAGCTGGGTGGGTGGGCAGTGCTGAATCCCACCTTAAAGAAAACAGTACCAAGAACTCTAACCATCAGCCATGAAGACATAGACTGTAAAAGGTCCCAAACAACATGCCTCTAGAATTATGTTAAGTGGAGAAGAGATCTGACAATAGGGGCCGGGGGGTGGGGGGAAGTCTTCACTCAGGTTTAAATAAATTCCTTGCACTTTAGTTCTATAAATGACACAACCACCACGGCAGGAACAACTAGCTGTCATGATAACCAGTCTTTGTCTAGTTCCACAGTAAACAGGCTCTGCCTGCTGGCCAGGCCCATGGACATTTGGACCCAATGTACCGACGACACTGCCAGCCTGCCTTTCTCGGCTGGGGTAACCATGCCCAGAGGTGCTAAGTATGAGTGAAGAGGCTGAGGAGCCATCCGGATGACCTCTTCCTTTTCCTGCTGCTCCTCCTCTGGGCGGAATGCAAGGAAGGGCTGCAGCTGGAAAAGCTGCTGTAGACCCGGAGACACCCGTGGGAGTGGAGGCCACACAGAACAGAACAAGAGAGAAGGTGCCATGGCCCTGGGGGCTTCCTTTGACTTTCTGTGCTCATGGTCAAAACCAGTTGATATATTCAGTTCAGTTGCTCAGTCATGTCCAACTCTTTGGACTTGATATATTATTTTTCAAGAAAACTTTTTTTTTTTGGAAAAAAGTCTTCCATGTACTTCTTAACTTTCCAAAGCCCCCAAACTGAGACTTGTGTTCAAATGTATATGCACATGCCTTCCTTCTGTACTTACTTTTCCTGACTCCATCAGGGGCAAACTATGAGGAGAGCCTCTTTCCACCAAGCGTACTCTACAAAGAAAAACATAAGGTGTTACTGTGTGCTCTGGACCCTGGCTTCCTCCTCTACATCTAGCACTTGGGTCAACGCCCAGCAGTCGGATGGGCACATTAGCTCTGTTGACAAGCATTACCCAATGCAAAGAGAGTCGAGAAGTCAAAGGAAAAGCAGACGATGGCAGAGAGGAGGCAGCGGGGGCCACCACACAGGCCACAAGAGTACGGAGATACAGCCCCACATATCAACCTACAAACGTCGGGAATGACTCTGCATTGATGTAACGGGGTCAACACAGTGTTTGCAGAAAAGGGAGCGTGAGGATTAAGCTGCATTCCTCAAAGAGCCGCCACTCCTGTGACAGAAGACCTCTTGGGCCTGTCCCCTGTAAACACAGGCGGCCGCAGACCCCACAGCACAGCATCCACTGCCTCAGCCAGGCACATTGGAGAGGACTGGCCAGTTCAGACAGCACAATCTCCTTTCTGGAAAGAAGTGCTTTTCAATCTAAGAACTATCTGCTGGTGAGGTACTCAAGAACTGTGGAGGACCCTGGTGCCAGTCACAACCCAGCCCACTGAGCCCTCCTCAGCTGTATTACTTTATCCCATGCCTGGGTTCAGTTCCCTCCATGTTACTCTGAGTGTGATGCTAACCAATCATCTACAGACAACTTTTACTTCAGGAAAATGGAGTGAAAGGGAACCCCCTCGTTTCTAATTTTATCAATTTGATTTCTCTTTTTTCCTTGATAAATCTGGGCTAAAAGTTATCAATTTTATTTGTCTTGTCAATGAACCATCCTTTTAGTTTTATTCATCTTTACCACTATTTTGTTTCTATTTCGCTTTTTTCTGCTCTGATCTGTATGCTTTCTTTCTGGTATTAACTTTGGGTTCTGTTTGTCCTTTCTCTAGTTGCTTCAGGGCAGCCGGCCTCCCGTCCTCATCCTGCCCTCAGAGTTCATCTTGTCTCCTGTCCCTGCTGGGCAGGTGGATCTTACCTGAAATGAGAAAACTCTACTGCTAAGAATTTCCCTGTGGCCTCCTCCCTGCTGAGTGGTGGCAGGGACCTGGGCAAGCATGCAGGGTGGACAAAGAGTTTCTTCTCTGGTCAGCATGGAACAGTGCTCTATGTCAGTGATTCCAGGCAAGCAGGAAGGGGCACTAGGACCACTCAGGGGTGGTCCTGTCTTGTCAGAAATGCCACATGGCGGGGGTGGGGGTGGGTCTTTCACCCACTTGAGAATATCCACAAGAGCAAAGAAAAAACCAGCCCTAGAAGAAGGCAGAGCTGTGTCTCCCAGAAGAGCTGAGAGACATGCCCATGCATGCAGCACATGTGAGAGGGATAGGGGCTCACAGAAACCCAGGAAACTTGGGGGAGATAAGAGGGCATAGGCTGGGGTAAGGGGCAGCTCTGTCCACCACCTGTGCACCACAGACAGGGAGGCTCTCTCCTGACTGCATACCGTCACCCAGCACTCCCAGGACATGGCACAATCAGGAAACCACACCTCCTGCCCCATGGGTGCTGTCAGGACAGGAGCTGGTCACTTCAGAGCCATGGAAAACAGCCAGTGTGGCGTGTCCTGCTGCTGGTCAGGAGGGGCAGGGGTGTGCCTGTCTCTTGAGGGCCACTCCAGTGATCACTGGTGACCTGGAGGACGAGCGCCACTCACACCAAGAGGAGCTGATGGAGCCTAGTGTGGTCTACCAGGCGGCCCTGCGTTAAGTGTGCTGACGGTGTTCTGTATCTGGGGTGCCCACAACAGCATCTTAGGGAAAAACCCCAATGACCATTTTGGGCCAACTCAACATAAAATTATCTTCAAATAATTTTTGTAGGGAGTAAAGCAAATTTCTTTTTAAAGCCTACTAGTTATGTTTCGAAATGTTATGCCCCCGAAAGAGGTCACTTAATCTCTTCAACGCTAAGGGTCTGCATCTTGAAGATGTCTGGATAGGCCTCTGCTGCAGGGGGCTGGTGTCTCTTGGGGACCAGTGGTTCTCTCTACTAGACAGGCTGTCTCCTGGGAGTCCCTGTGAACAGCAGGGTCTAAAACGAGGGTTCCAGGGGACCAGGAGGCACCACCAAGAGTGGAGAGGAACAAAGAGTTCAGGGGGACAAAGTGCTTCTTAGTCTGAGCACCACTGCCATTCTGGTCATCTGCTGTGCGGCAGAGGCCTGTCCTGGCCACTGCAAGATGCTCAGCTGCCTTGCTGGCCTCCACCCACCACACGCCACCAGGACCACTTCCCATATCATGCTCATCAGACACAGCACCATGGCAACCCACCCGCGGCTGGGCACACCACCTGGGTCTGACTGGCCTTCATGGCATGCCAGGCCCCTCTGCAGCCTTGCCCCCGACACTCTCTCACATGGGAACTCAGCAGGCAAGAAGAACACACTTGGCCAGGTCAGGCGGGGGCTCCTGGTTTCCCACCCACAACTCTCCCTAGCTCTTACATGTTGTGAGCAAATGCATATGTCGGTAGGCACCACTGAGAACAAGCAGACACCGAGCACAGATCTGGACCTCATAACACATCCACAAGCACCTCCAGCCACTTATAAAAGGACACTATGTATCAGAGTCACTCTATTATCATGTCAAAGAAACAGCAACGCATGGGCATCTCCACAACCACACAGAGAAACAACCCAATCACTGGGGATGTCTGTAGAAAAACGACAGAATTCTCTCCCCCTCAGGCACATCAGGAGGGAACCCTTTGGGAGCTGAAGTTCTGCGACAGATTCTTTATCTTGTCCCCACCTTCTGTCCCACCCTTTGAGGTGGACTCACAAGTATCCACCAGCACACTCCCTTTCGTTCTTGTTCAAGGCTGCTTATTAGGAAGCTGCACAGAAAGGTAACTTGACTTACAGTTTAGCTTTTCCTGGAAATGCCTTGACAAAAATTATCAATTCATGCAAAGAAATGTGAGCAGTGTTGGTATTTTATGAGGTGCAAAACAGCGGCTGACTAGTGCTCAAGAAAATGTCAAGTCTGGCAGAGTGTGAGAAAAGGCCACTCTGACTGCAGCAGCTCTGGGACAGCTTTCTCAGAATCAGGAGCTGCTGCCCCAGTGGGACGTGAGGTGATGCACGTGGAGGGCTGCGAGAGCTCACTCCGTGGCCCCTGTGCTCGGGGCAGATGACTGCACTCCTCCTTCCAGAGGAGCGCTGCACGCCAGGTGCTGGGAGACAAAGTCACAATACCTGTCATGTCTCAGAGCTCTCATGTCCACATAGACGGTGGTCGGATCGGGCCCCGATGTTCCCTGCAAGCAAGGACACAATGCGATTAATCCCGTTTGCCTGGGAGGAGCTGCGTCTGTGCTTCCTACTGGCTGGGAACGTTTCTTTGGTGTCTGAAACTGAACAAAACCCAAAAGCACTAAAACCACACCTCTCACTTGATAACCTAATTCCGAAAGAATATCTTGCTAAGATAATACTGACTTTCACATAGCTTGACTGTTAATCATTTATGAAAATTAGAAAGGAAAGGGGCATCTCGCCAAATAAAGAGGCTGAAGCTACAGAGGCAGCGTTTGGCAAAAGCAGGTTGTTGAGGAAGTGAAGCATCATTTGCTGAGAGGCTTTCACCACATGCATCCCCAAAAGTGTATTTTCAGAGCTCAAGGTACTGAAGCAGAACATGTGACATGAGCTGACAGACTGAGGAAGAGGAGATAAAAGACAATGATCTTGTTCATTCTGGTTCTACTTGTGCCCTGGTTTTCCTCCAGGGTGGGAGGCCATTTTTGCCCAAGAAACAAGTCACAGAGGTAGCATGTTTATCATTGGTCATCTGGGCAGCACCCTGTGGTCTGAACTGTTTATTTAAACACAGGGTCCTGAAATCTTATCTTGAGATCATAAATCTCTTCAAAATACATATGGAGTTGACTTCTGAACAATGATCTCTGTTCATATAACAGCAATGGCATCGAAGCTACCTTACAAACAAAAATTCTACATACATTTCCTGGGAAAGTAATGCACTACTTTTGGTGGAAAAAGAACCTAAAAAAAAAGTCTGCCAAAAAAGAGACTCTCAGATTTATTTGAAGAACTACACTAAAATTCTTCATGAGAGAATCTTAACCTTGTATCAAAGGCACACTTCAGTATAAGAAAAAGAAAAAAATAAAGATACCTTCATTACACCACACTGGACCACACGATAACCTCCCCCGCCCCCTGAGAAAGCACATGCAATCAGCCTGGAGGAGGAGCTGCCCTGCCATGAGGACACAGCACCCTCGCTGACCTGCGGCTACTCTGGGGGCTGTGTTACAGACCAGAGCTGAGTGGAGGAACAGTTTGTGGTCTGAGCAATGCAAAGCACGTAACCACAAGAGGCCAATTAAAAACCAACAAATCAGAAAACAGGTCACTAGAAGCAAAAAATGAGGCAAAACAGAGATGACCCCAAACTGGCAAAGACACCACAGATCGTGTAAATGGAAGCACAGCGTTTGTCACAAATGCAAGACGTCTGAAGAGATGTGAGACATGACATCACGCTGGCTGTCAGCCCTCCTGCCCACGGGTCCACAAGCCCAGCCCATCTCCGCACTCAACTCCTAGTCTGCCCACTGCTGGGAGCTGATGAAACTGTGTGGTTGCAGGCACTGGTGTGGACGGGCGGGAAGTCCCTACCTGCTCGGCCAGCTTCCACAGCCGGTGAGGCTACAGCAGCAGGAGGTGGGAGCAGAGGACACCAGACCAACAGAAACCGAACATCGAGGACACACACAGACACAGAAACAGACAACCCAGCAGTAAAAGTGGGATGAAGAAGAGGGAGGGGTGGGGAGGAGAATGCAAAAAGCAGAGAACAAAGTAAAAAGAAGATCAAAAACAATGTCAAATATGGAAATCATTAAAAATCAATCACTGTACCATTAAAGGCTAAAAAAAAATCTAAAAAGATGTTCACATATCCACAGAGCAACAGAGGAGGTAACAGATGACTGGTAACGGGCAGGTTGGCCTAAGGAACTGCTTTTCATACATACGGTCAGTGGGTGTTGATTTTATGGTACTTTTCTCTAGTTTCTGTTCTTTACTGAGAAAGCGGGGAGTATGAATTTAATTGACCAAATCTGTCGAGTGTTCCTCACTGAAATAGCTTCAAGTTTCTTACTACAATAATGAAGGTGACCCTGGGAGTCTGTGAATCTTCAGGCTGTCTAGCCCTGCTCATCTACAAGATTAGAAGAAGAAAAGAGTTCAGAGTACGCATGAAGCATGGACCAAACCTCAGGCTCCTCCCTCAGTGGTGCGAGAGGGACTCCCTACAGTGGGCACCCTGCCTCCCCCTCAGTTCTGTCCTCTAAGACGCTGTATCCCCTTCCCTCTCATCTGCTAGGTTCCAGTCCCCACCTCCACCATCCAAAAGCATCCAAGCCCACAGGGGAAAGACCCTAAAGCCATTAGGGGCAGCTCCTCGGCTGCTGTGAGGCTTCCCTGGCTGACTGTCTCTCCGAACATCCCAAGAAAGCTGGATCAAGCCCAGGTTTCTGCATGGGCACAGTCCTGTTTGGGTCTGGCCTCGTGCCGCCCCACTTAGGTACCTCATAATCTCATGCATCACCAACATTTCTTTCTGCAGTCACCACAACCTGCTAGCTGCACAACTCAGCCTTCCCAAGACCAGGGGACACTTCTGGAAGGGGGCCCATGGACACTAGAAACGTGATTCTGAGAGCACAGCTCAGATGCAGCTCCATTCCTCGTCTGGACAAGGTCCCTGGCTACATACCTCGAGAGATGGAGGCCTGCCCTCTCCCAGAGCACTCAGTCTAGTCGAGGGCCCTGAGGAAGCATAGTGGGCCATCCAGCTGAGAAAACATGCCCTCAAACAACAACCAATCAACTGAAAACACTCACTGACTTCACACACGCTGGTAATTCTGGGGTTCCATAAGAAAAATGGCATGACCTTCACAATACCTTCAAGCACTTAGGACAGGGCTTGGAATTTGGGAAATACCTTAGCATTTCTGTTTTTCATGTTTTTACATTAAGGAATTGATGGTGATTCTCTCTAGGCAGATGGGTGTTATTTATTGACTAGTCTGTATTTTCTGATTTTTGTTTCTTAAAATAAATATCCTTTTGTAAAAAATTCAGTCTCTAAAAATTCATAAGTTCTCAGATTGTTTTCCTTATTTGTATAATCCTTCTTAAAAATTCAGTTTTGGTATATTTAATATCTTTATTACACATTTCTTATGTGTCAGGCCCTGCAGAAATACAATGGGAACAAGAGATGTGGGGCTTCTGCTCTCAGACCTCAACCTCAAGCAATGCCTTTTCTGTTTGTTTCGGATCAGATCAGTTCAGTTCAGTTCAGTCGCTCAGTCATGCCTGACTCTTAGCGACCCTATGGACTGCAGCATGGCAGGCCTCCCTGTCCATCACCAACTCTCGGAGCTTATTCTAACTCATGTCCATCGAGTCAGTGATGACATCCAACCATCTCATCCTCTGTCATCCCCTTCTCCTCCCACCTTCAATCTTTCCCAGCATCAGAGTCTTTTCCAGTGAGTCAGTTCTTTGCATCAGATGACCAAAGTATTGCAGTTATTTCAGCATCAGTCCTTCCAATGAATATTCAGGACTGATTTCCTTTAGGATGGACTGGTTTGATCTCCTTGCTATCCAAGGGACTCTCAAGAGTCTTCTCCAACACCACAGTTCAAAAGCATCAATTCTTTGGCGCTCAGCTTTCTTTATGGTCCAACTCTCACATCCATACATGAACTACTGGAAAAACCATAGCTTTGACTAGACGGATCTTTGTTGGCAAAGGAATGTCTCTGATTTTTAATATGCTGTCTAGGTTGGTCATAGTTTTTCTTCCAAGAAACAAGTGCCTTTTAATTTCATGGCTGCAGTCACCATCTGCAGTGATTTTGGAGCCCAAGAAAATAAAGTCTCTCACTGTTTCCATTGTTTCCCCATCTATTTGCCATGAAGTGACGGGACCAGACGCCATGATCTTAGCTTTTTGAATGTTGAATTTTAAGCCAACTTTTTCACTCTCCTCTTTCACTTTCATCAAGAAGCTCTTTAGTTCTTCACTTTCTGCCACAAGGGTGGTGTCATCTGCATATCTGAGGTTACTGACATTTCTCCTGGCAATCTTGATTCCAGCTTGTGCTTCATCCAGCCCAGTGTTTTGCATGATGTACTCTGCATATAAGTTAAATAAGCAGGGTGACAATATATAACCTTGATGTACTCCTTTCCCAATTTGGAACCAGTCTGTTGTTTGATGTCTGGTTCTAACTGCTGCTTTCTTGATCTGCATACAGATTTCTCAGGAGGCAGGTAAGGTGATCCGGAATTCCCATCTCTTGAAGAATTTTCCAGTTTGTTGTGATCCACGCAGTCAAAGGTGTAGTCAATAAAACAGAAATAGATGTTTTTTTAGAACTCTCGTGCTTTTTCTATGATCTAACGGACACTGGCAATTTGAAATCTGGTTCCTCAGGCTTTTATAAATCCATCTTGAACATCTGGAAGTTCACGGTTCATGTACAGTTGAAGCCTGGCTTGGAGAATTTTGAGCATTACTTTGCTAGCGTGTGATATGAGTGCAGTTGTGTGGTAGTCAGAACATTCTTTGGCGTTGCCTTTCTTTGGGGTTGGAATGAAAACTGACCTTTTCCAGTCCTGTGGCCATTGCTGAGTTTTCCAAATTTAAATTTGGAGTTTAAATTTCCAAATTGAAATTTCCACTTTAACAGCATAATCTTTTACGATTTTGAAATAGCTCAGCTGGAATTCCATCACCTCGACTAGCTTTGTTTGTAGTGATGGTTCCTAAGGCCCACCTGACTTTGCACTCCAGGATGTCTGGTTCTAGGTGAGTGATCACAGCAGCATGGTTATCTTGGTCATGAAGATCTTCTTTGGGATCACAATCACATATTTTTTGATTTATGCAAAAATTAATAGAAAATAAACATTTCCACTGACCAACCCTGGCTTGCACCTGTTGCTGCTTTTGCCCACATTTTTGTACATTCATGTCACAGGGCGCTTTGCAGAACTGTCAACTCAGAGACGTCCTTCTTGGCTACCCTAACTGTAAAACTGCCTCCTCTGTCCCCCCTTTATGCTCTTACTTCATTTTTCCTAAGAATATTTTACTCGCTTACTGAAAAATTCATCTCTATGTCTACTGTCCATGTGGTTCCCTGAGGACCAGAACTGTGTCTTGAGTTTCTCTAAGTAAAATGTGACTCTGGCTGACACGAGGCTACTCCCAGGATGAAGCATGCCAGAGACACCACATCCACATCTGTGGTAACAGGGTTCTGCCCATAGCTTTCTGTGTGCTGTGTCCCACATAGCACACATGGTCAAATTCCCCAAACCATAAGACTCCACAGCCCCGATGCACAGCTGGTTGCAGGCATGGCAGGGAGAGAGCCTGCACTGCTTAGGGGGACGCACTTGAATTTACCTGATTTATCTCTACTGCCAGACTCATTAATACTTTCAGCTATTTTCTAATACTGACCATTCAGAAAAAGAAAAACTGGCTGAAAATTAGGTGAGAGTAAAGCACACAAATAGAAAAACTTAAAATGTACAAAAACCCTTAAAGACGCTGCCAACATTCCAAAAGAGCACTGTGACCTGGGATTGGCAATGTCAACTTTGACCTCCACATCAGGCTGATGGGACTGTTTTCTATAAAAGAATATATTATTCTTTTTTAAATTAAAAGCACAGAACTTTAAGTATTCAACATTCTTGCAACACATATTTATTAAATATTTACAAAGCACCACGTCCAGTTCTAGGTGGTAAGGACACAGACTGATGGAGCTTGTATTTCAGGCCACAAGGTGCCAAATACCTATGTGTCAACTTCATTCTTGGCTTCTTACCCTTATTTTCTGTCACCTCTACCTTTTCTATTATTTTTAGTATATTTTACTTTTCCTACTTAATTTACTGCTTCCTTATAAAAACTTCTTAAAACATTTTGGATTAAGTAGATGGAAATAAATGGAAAAAAGAGGTAAATAACATAAGTGCTTTATTTCTAGTGTCTACAAAGTTTCAATTTTATATAATAAAGTGTTGTAGAATTCTTTGTTGCCTGTACGAAGTGGACAAGTGCTAAATGATATTTGTTAATATGGGATCTATTCTATGTCCTTCTCCCTTCATCTGCCAGCATTCCGAGAAAGAGAAGAATAACATCGCTGTGGGCAGGGGCCTGTCTCTCACAGATTCCTGTGGACTCGTGATTCACTCCCCACTGCTTGCAGGAGAAAGGAGTATTACAGAATCCTACAGCTGGATTCATCTAATGAGTGCGTTTCTCATTTCTTCTCAAGCAGAACAGACAAAGGTGAAGAGGAAAAGAAAATCTAGCATTTAAAGGAAAAGCTGGGCAAATCAATGCAATCCTTCAGATTACTTCAATCACAGAACAAGGCTCAATGGACTCCTGAGGACTCTGGTAGTTACACATGTTTAAAAATGGAGCTGATTCAAAGAGAAGGGAGACAGAGGCAAGGAACATCTAATGAAAATCAGAAAAGCTTCCTGTCGCTAATTTTTCTAAAGTGATCTCATCAGACTGATCACGTGGGGACAGTCAGTCCTTTGTCTCTGAAGTCCAAATACTGAGAGCCCTAGCCAGGAGGCAGCAGACCAGGAGCTTCCCATGGCTGCCCAAGGGGAACTAGAAGCAGCACCTCTGGCCACACACAGGGGACATGATAGGCGTCAGGGAGGGGAGCTTAGGAGCTGATTTGCGGCAACTGTCCTCCACTCCAGCACCTTCTGTGAAGGAAGTTCCTGTCCTTTTCATATGCTCAAAGGAACAGAGCCTGCAGCTGAGCCTGGGACCAGCTCATTTTGGCTGAGGCGGCCTGAAGGGCACTGGGGGAGGTTCCCACACGACCTTCCTCTCCTTCATAAACTAGATCTCAAGTAAAGAGTTCAAAGCAGGAGAGAACAGTGACAACGGTCAGAAGTGGGCTAATGAAGAGACAGGAAACAAATATTTTTGGCCACACAGGATACAAGGCTACCTTATGAGGGCAGCCTCACGTACAGCTCTACCTTAGAAATGCAGCAATTAAGTGTTACTTCAATGGTGTCATCACAGGAGCAAATTTATGAACCTGCTTAATGTACTGGAATTCTCCCTAAAGAAATCACTGTCTGCATACAAGAGACTAAGTACTTCAAGGCACAGGATTTCTTGCCACAGTGAAACATTTGTTTAGTATCTCATCTTTAAAGAGCCTGACTTGAGAGGTTTGGACAAACAGCAACTCTTGCTACAAAACTTAAAATGTCCCAGGACAGAGTAAGCCTGTGAACGCTAGTTATGAATAATGGTTACTGAGAAACGCAGACTTTAACTAAAAGAAAAAGGAAACAAGTGTGCACCAACCACATGCATTTGATTGAAAGATTCCTTCTAAATGTGGGTTAGCATCAGCAGGGAACTGTGGTGAGCAGTTTGGCGCTGTATGCCTGTCTTTAAAAGTCACTCTGTGACCCAAGCACTTATTGGCATCAAGGAAACTCACCTGCAAGCAAATTGCCAGGTTCACTCGACAGCCAAACGAGGTGCTAACGGCCCGCGGGTGGAGGCCCAGGTCTTTGAACAGTTTCGAGAAAGACTGGGTGAGTGCTATTCGGGGCCGCTCCTCTGCCACCACCACACAGGTCCGCACGCGGGACAAGTCCAGTCCTCGTGCCTACAAATAATGACAGAGGCAGGAGGTCACACTTGCCAGTGTTAAGGTGTGACCTGCAGGCTCCTCACCCAGACCCACAAAACCACAGAAACTCCACACAGATATTCATTCCCAGAGCTCTGTGTCCACGCGAGTAATCAAAATGCTGTAGAACATATGTATAAACAAAAAACGGCCCATATCCGATTATCAAGGATGCCATTACAAATTTTACATAACTGAAGAAGCATAATGAGGAGCAAAGTTGAAGAAAAACAAGATCTGGATAAAATAATTAAAGGACAGGGTATGGGGAGGAACAGAAGCACCTGTATGAAGCATCTGTGAGCCTGGATACACAGAACACACATTGGAGAGAAATGAGAAACCTACTTTTAATACACAAATGGAAAACAAAAACATCTGGGCAGCTTCTTAAACATCATTCTCCTTTCATGTCCTGAGCTTAAACTGTCATGATGAAGCACATCTCAGTTCTGCCCAAATTCCATGGAAACACCCTGGAGCTGGAAATGAAGTGCCTTGATCATAACACTCCCAGACAGAGCCCAGGAAGAGCACAGACCATGATGGGAGTGGCACTGACATGGGAGCGTGGGAGCAACAGGGTCTCCAGAGCACACGGGAAAGTCACCAGGAGCCAGCCACAGCTGGGAGAGCTGACAGGGCCCCTGTGCTGAGGGTGACCTTCCAGACATGCTGCTACATAGGGCAAGATGAGTGTGCAAAACAGGAGGGCTCCCAACACACACATGTCCTGGGAAAATGCAGCCTAGGCTCTGGACGGTGCATTTGGGGTCAGAGATTCAAAATCTGGCCCTGAAGTTTATTAAATATAAGAACTTGGAAAAGGTGCTTGATTTCTCTGTAACATAAGTCTTCTCATCTTTAAAATGGAGAAAATAATGGATCCAGTTCAGACAGCCACTATAAGGGTTAAACTAATCAAAGTGTGAAGTTCTTAGATATCATTTATTTCATTTGGTCATCTACATATGCACCCTTGGGAAAGTTCATGAAACATAATCCTTTTATAGCATAACATAGGTGGACATGAAAAATAATTATATGTTATAAATTTATTTTGCTATATAACTTCAAGAAATAATATGCCAGCAAATTTGGAAAACTCAGAAGTGGCCACAGGACTGGAAAAGGTCAGTTTTCATTTCAATCCCAAGGAAAGGCAACACCAAAGAATGTTCAAACTACCACACAACTGCACTCACATCACACGCTAGCAAAGTAATGCTCAAAATTCTCCAAGCCAGGCTTCAACAGTACATGAACCGTGAACTTCCAGATGTTCAAGCTATATTTAGAAAAGGCAGAGGAACCAGAGATCAAACTGCCAATATCCACTGGATCATCGAAAAAGCAAGACAGTTCCAGAAAAGCATCTATTTCTGCCTTATTGACTATGCCAAAGCCTTTGACTGTGTGGATCATGAGAAACTGTGGAAAATTCTGAAAGAGATGGGAATACCAGACCACCTGACCCGTCTCTTGAGAAATCTAGAGGTCAGGAAGCAACAGTTAGAACTGGACATGGAACAAGAGACTGGTTCCAAACAAGAAAAGGAGTACGTCAAGCTTGTATACTGTCACCCTGCTTATTTAACTTATATGCAGAGTACATCATGGGAAATGCTGGGCTGGATGAAGCACAAGCTAGCATCACGATTGGCAGGAGAAATATCAATAACCTCAGATTTGCAGGTGACATCACCCTTGTGGCAGAAAGTGAAGAACTAAAGAGCCTCTTGATGAAAGTGAAAGAGGAGAGTGAAAAAGTTGGCTTAAAGCTCAACATTCAGAAAACAAAGATCATTGCATCTGATTCAATCACTTCATGACAAATAGATGGGGAAACAATGGAAACAGTGGCTGACTTCATTTTGGGAGGCTCCAAAATCACTGCAAATGGTGACTGCAGCCATGAAATCAAAAGACACTTACTCCTTGGAAGGAAAGTTATGACCAACCTAGACAGCATATTAAAAATCAGAGACATTCCTTTGCCAACAAAGGTCCATCTAGTCAAGGCTATGGTTTTTCCAGCAATTATGTAGGGATATGAGAGTTGGACCATAAAGAAAGCTGAGCACCAAAGAATTGATGCTTTTGAACTGTGGTGTTGGAAAATACTCTTGAGAGTCCCTTGGACTGCAAGGAGATCCAACCAGTCCATCCTAAAAGAGATCAGTCCTGAGTGTTCACTGGAAGGACTGATGTTGAAGCTGAAACTCCAAAACTTTGGCCACCTGATGCGAAGAGCTGACTCATTTGAAAAGACCCTGACATTGGGAAAGATTGAAGACAGGAGAAGGGGATGACAGAGAATGAGATGGTTGGATGGCATCACCGACTCAATGGACATGAGTTTGGATAAACTCCGGAAGTTGGTGATGGACAGGGAGGCCTGGCGTGCTGTGGTCCATGGGGTCGCAAAGAGTTGGACATGACTGAGCAACTGAACTGAACTGAAGAAATACTAATTTATTTCTGTAGCTTAATATCAAAGTTACCATGCATTTTGCTTTCTTGTTCAAGCTTAATGCATTGGGTCTGAATAGGGAAACAAAATCCAGGCGAGAGAAATACATTGCTTTACTAATGGCAAGCGTATAGGTAATTTGTATGTATATATACATACACACAAATATAATCTGGGTATACACATACACACTCTCTCTCTCACATATATCTGAGCATAGAAACAGTGAACAGTTGGAATACTAACCATAATAGGTCTTATAATTATTCTCTCCTAGTTACTTGAGTATTATGGTATGTCTACCCAGATGTCCTCGGCTACCACATAATGGTAACTGAATATTAACAAATAAAACCAAACCACTGTTCACTGAACTGTACAACTGAAATCTGGTTAGGACTCAGATATACCAATCAAGATCTTCAAGAAAAACGAAATGAGTGGCTAAATTAACACCTATGACTGTAACCTCATCACTGGAATAAAACTGAATCCACCAACAATTAAAAAGGCAGTTCAGGCCCCTCTGAGCAGCCCTAACACAATTAAAGACATCAATAACATATGTTCTGATCTCTAACTCTGGCAGTGGGAAAACATTCATGGTATAAAACAAGGTTTTCATGTAGAAGCAACTCTGTAAACCCTCACGTGACAGTGGCTGCCTCACCACACCTCTTCTACGCCCTCAGATACTGTGCTTCCCCAGGATGCTGGCAATGCTCCAGGCACTCTTGGGTTGCTCACCTTGAGGGATTCTGTCTGCGATCCCAGCCCCTTGGTGCACAGTTCCATCACTGAATAGGAGCAAAAGGTATCCCGGACTTTGTACTGACTCACGGCAAGCAGCCACAAGGCAGGGTTGGTCTCCAGCTCTGCCGGCGGGATGAGGATGGACTGGTGCCCAGAGTACACGCTGTAGAGAGACACGGGAGGGCTCAGCCAGGATAGAGGAGGGGGATCCACTGGCCTCTGAGAAACACCTACTTCCATTTGCAAGAGGGGACAGTCACATCAACTCTACTCCCGAGTGGTTTTAAATAAAAAACAAAAGGTGTTTATGAAAACATTCTGAAAAATACAAAAGAATTATGTAACTATGATCTGCAGTTACTGTCATTTTGAGCACTTAGTGAGGTATCTCAAAGCTATGATGCTGGTAGGTTTCTCTCAAAGCTACTACACTAACAAACTAAATCTCACAGTGGGAAACATAGGACTGAATTTTGGTTAAAAGGTCTGAAAGTTTGGAAGAGCAGTTGACGAACTGGATGCTGTCTGGTTTAGCAACTGAAGTTTCATTGGGACCTGGCCCTCAGTCCTTGCAGTACTGTCTTCCGTGGCCGCCACATCAACAGGCAGAGAAGAGGGTTGCAACAGAGGCCATGCAGCCTACATGTGTACTAAACAGCCAACTGAGGAAAAGCATGCCCAACTTGAGTTCAGAAAACTGACATTCAGAGTAAATAAAACAAAGACAATTAGAATAAGATTATAATTTCACTCAAAATGATCCAAATAAATACCAAAAAATAACTAAGGAAAATACATGCATTCTCTTGTGTGTAGGCTCAGTCATGCCCTACTCTGTGACCCCACAGACTGCAGCCCACTAGCCTCCTCTGTCTATGGAATTCTCCAGACAAGAATACTGGAGTGGGTGGCCTTTCCCTTTCTCCAGGGGATCTTCCCAACCCAGGGGTTGAACCCAGGTCTCCCACACGGCAGGCGGGTTCTTCACCACCTGAGCCCCAGGGACGCCTGGATGGAGTAGCTGACTGACAAAGCTGTGTTAGCTTCCAGGGTACAGCACAGTGATTCAGTTATACACACACACAGATGTATTTTTTCCAGATTCTTTTCCCTCATATGGCATTACAAAATATTGAGTATAGTTCCCTGTGCTATACAGTAGGGCCTTCCTTGTTGGTTACCTATTTTATATATAATTGTGTGCATACGTTAATCTCAAACTCTTAATTTATCCCTCTCCCCACCACTTTTCCCTTTGGTAAGTTTGTTTTCTATGTCAGTGGGTCTATTTCTGCTTTGTAAATAAACTCCTTTGTATCTTTTTTCTTTTGGATTCTACATATAAGCAATGTCATATGGTATCTCTCTCTGGTTTATTTCACTTAGCATGATAATCTCTATATCAATCCATGGTGCTGCAAATGGCATTATTTCATTCTTTTTTTAGAGCTGAGTAATATTCCTTTGTGTATATACACCATATCGTCCTTATCCATCTGTCAATGGACATTAAAGTTGCATCTCCGTCTTTGCAAATTTCCATGCTGCTGTAAACAATGCTGCAATGAACACTGGGGTACATACATCTTTTCAAATTAGAGTTTTCTCCAGATAGATGCCCAGGAGTGGAACTGCAGGATCACATGGTAACTCCATCTTTAGATTTTTTAAGAAACCTCTATTCTCCATAATGGCTGCACAAATTTACAATCTCACCAACACTGTAGGAGGGTTTCTCTTTCTCCACACCCTCTCCAGAGTTTATTATTTGTAGACTTTTTGATGATGGCCATTCTGACTATATGAAGTGCTATCTCATTATAGTTTTGATTTGCATTTCTCTAACAATTAGCAATGCTGTTAAGCATCTTTTCACGTGCCTGTTGGCCATCTGTGTGTCTTCTCTGGAGAAATGTCATTTTAGATTTCTGTCCACTTTTTGATTGAGTTTTTTAAAATATTGAGCTGCATGAGTTCTTTGCATATTTTGAAGGTTAATCTCCTGTTGGTTGCATCATTTGCAAATATTTACTCCCAGTCAATATGTTGTCTTTTTGTTTATGGTTTCCTTTGCTGTGCCAAAGCTTTGAAGTTTAATTAGGTCACATTTGTTTTTATTTCCATTACTCCAGGAGATGGAGTCAAGAAGATACTGCTTGGATTGATGTGTTTCGTCTATGTTTTCCTCTATGAGTATTATAGTATCTGGTCTTAAGTTTAGGTATCTAATCTCTTTTGAGTTTATTTTTGCTTGTGGTGTTAAAGAATGATCTAATTTCATTTTTTTTTACATGTAGCTGTACAGTTTTCCTGGTATCACATACTAAAGAGACTATCTATTCTCCAGTATAGATAGTCTTGCCTCCTATGTCCTAGATTAATTAACCACAGGTGCAGGGGTTTCTCTCTGTACTTTCTATCCTGCTTCCATTGACCTGTATTTCTGTTTCTGTGCTAGCACCATACTGTATTGATGACTGCAGCTTTGTAGTATAGTCTGAAGTAAGGGAGCCTAATTCCTCCGGTTCCATTCTTCTTTCTCAGGATTGCTTTGGCTATTCAGTCTTTCATGTTTTCATACAGATTTAAATTTCCATACAAATTAAACTTTTTTGTTCTAGATCTGTGAAAAATGCCCTTGGTAATTTGATAGGCATTGTGTAGATTGTCCTGGGCAATACAGTCATTTTAACAATACTGATTCTTCCAGTCTAAGAACACAGTGTAATCTTTCCATTTGTTTGTGTCCTCTTCAATTTCTTTCATCAGCATCTTACAGTTTTCAGAGTACAGGTCTTTTTGCCTCCTTAGGAGGTTTATTCCTAAGTATTTTATTTTTTTTGATGTGATGGTAAATGGGGTAGTTTCCTTAATTTTTCTCTCTTCCCTTTCACTGTTAATGCAACCGATTTCTGTGTATCCTGCCAACTTACTTAATTAACTTTATGAGCTCCAGTAGTTGCAAGCTGAATCCAACAATATTAAATGGATCATACACGACAATCAAGGGAAATTCAGCCCAGGGATGCATGGATTTTTTAGTATTTTCAAATCAGGGTAGTACTCTACACTAACAAATTGAAGAATAAAAACCATATGATCATCTGAATAGATGCAGAAAAAGCTTTTGGTAAAATTCAACATCCATTTATGATTAAAAACTCTCCAGAAAGTTGGAGAAGGAAACGGCAACCCACTCCAGTATTCTTGCCTGGAGAATCCTATGGACAGATGAGCCTGGGAGGCCATGGTCCACGAGGTTGCAGAGAGTTGGACACAACTGAAGCGACTAAGCACACACTCCAGAAAGTAGGCATGGAGGACTTATATGACAAACCCACAGCTAACATACTCAGTGGTGAAGAGCTGAAAGCATTTTCTCTGAGATCAAATGCTACAAGCTGGTGATTGCTTTCAGTTCAGTTCAGTTACTCAGTCATGTCCAACTCTTTGTGATCCCATGAACTGAAGCACACCAGGCCTCCCTGTCCATCACCAACTCCCGGAGTATACTCAAACTCATGTCCATTGAGTCCGTGTTGCCATCTAATCACCTCATCCTCTGTCATCACCTTCTCCTCCTGCTTTCAATTGTTCCCAGCATCAGGGTCCTTTCCAATGAGTCGGTTTTTTGCATCAGGTGGACAAAGTATTGGAGTTTCAGCTTCAACATCAGTCCTTCCAATGAATATTCAGGACTGATTTCCTTTAGGATGGACTGGTTGGTTCTCCTTGCAGTACAAGGGACTCTCAAGAGTATTCTCCAACACCACAGTCCAAAAGCATCAATTCTTCAGTGCCCAGCTTTCTTTGGAGTCCCAACTCTCACATCCCTACATGACTACTGGAAAAACCATAGTTTTGACTAAATGGAACTTTGTTGGCAAAGGAATGTCTCTGATTTTTAATATGCTGTCCAGGTGGGTCATAGCTTTTCTTCCAAGGAGCAAGCGTCTTTTCATTTCATGGCTGCAATCACCATCTGCAGTGATTTTGGAGCTCCCCAAAATTAAGTCTCTCACTGTTTCCACTGCTTCCCCATCTCTTTGCCATGAAATGATGGGACCAGATGCCATGATCTTAGTTTTCTGTATGTTGAGCTTTAAGCCAACTTTTTCACTCTCTTCTTTCATCAAGAGGCTCTTTAGTTCTTCTTCACTTTCTGCCATAAGGGTGGCATCATCTGCATATCTGAGACTGTTGACATTTCTCCCAGCAATCTTGATTCCAGCTTGTGCTTCATCCAGCCCAGCATTTCCCATGATGTACTCTGCATATAAGTTAAATAAGCAGGGTGACAATATACAGCCTTGACAAACTCCTTTCCCAATTTGGAACCAGCCTCTTGTTCCATGTCCAGTTCTAACTTGCTTCCTGACCTGCATACAGATTTCTCAAGAGGCGGGTCAGGTGGTCTGGTATTCCCATCTCTTTCAGAATTTTCCACAGTTTCTCATGATCCACACAGTCAAAGGCTTTGGCATAGTCAATAAGGCAGAAATAGATGCTTTTCTGGAACTGTCTTGCTTTTTCGATGATCCAGCAGATGTTTGCAGTTTGATCTCTGGTTCCTCTGCCTTTTCTAAATACAGCTTGAACACCTGGAAGTTCATGGTTCATGTTTTGCTGAAGCCTGGCTTGGAGAATTTTGAGCATCACTTTACTAGCGTGTGAAATGAGTGTGATTGTGCAGTAGTTTGAGCATTCTTTGGCATTGCCTTTCTTTGGGATTGGAATGAAAACTGACCTTTTCCAGTCCTGTGGCCACTGCTGAGTTTTCCAAATTTGCTGGCATGTTGAGTGCAGCACTTTCAGAGCATCTTTTATGATTTGAAATAGCTCAACTGGAATTCCATCACCTCCACTAGCTTTGTTCATAGTGATGCTTCCTAACGCAAAACTTGACTTCACACTCTAGGATGTCTGGCTCTAGGTGAGTGATCACACCATCATGATTATCTGGGTAGTGAAGATCTTTTTTGTACAGTTCTTCTGTGTATTCTTGTCACCTCTTCTTAATATTTTCTGCTTTTGTTAGGTCCGTACCATTTCTGTCCTTTATTGTGCCCATCTTTGCACGAAATGTTCCCTTGGTATCTGTAATTTTCTTGAAGAGATCTCTAGTCTTTCCCATTCTATTGTTTTCCTCTATTTCTTTACACT